GAAGCCGCTTATGTTAATGACCCAACCACTATATGTTTGTATGGCTATAAGGCCATACCAACATCCTCTGTCAATCTTCCCATCTACCACACCACATTTATTTCATCCATTCCTCACATTCTCAGCCAAAGCATTAACATAACCACCAAAAATATAATCATTTATTCTCTGTCGGGAACTAATGGTAATGCCAACAACCCATCTTCACAATCGATCGGCACTTAGCAACCCCATCTTTGAGGCCAAATGGAATCCCTCTACATCATTCATTACCCCATCTCATCCCCCTGTTTGATTGTGTTGGCTTACTTCCCCGAGGAAACTGCTGTCTCTAGTGCATATACCGAGAGCATTCCACTTCATTTCCTGTGTCTCGCAAGATACATCTGGCTCTGACCTACTCCACAAAGTCATTGAGGCGTTTCTGCTAAAAGCACCAATAAGAAATCCACCTCTTGCCACTACTATTATTAATAAGGATGATCCTGCTCTTGCTATATATTATGAAGGATTGTATTTTCTCTAATTTATTATTAATTTTCAGTTTTACATTTTCTATTTCCTTTTTAGGGTAATTCTTTTGCGCCGTGAACTCTTAATTGTCTATATATCCACGTTATTTATAAATTATCTTATCACATCACCAGTTATTGTAATGTGGAAACACGCATAAATATCAAGGTATATATGTACTTGTTTATAGTTTCTTTACGGCTAAATTATCAAATCTTTCACGTTTGCCACCTGAATTACTTTTCTTTTTTATTCACCACTAATTTTACAATTCATTTCACCATTAGTCACCGACCGTTACATTCCGTTAAATTTGTCCAACGTGGCAGTTAACTATAAAGTTTGACCGTTAACTAGATGACGTGGAAATTAAAAAAAATAAAAATTAATTTATTTTTACACCTCATCATTTCACTACTTTGTCAATATAATTTATCATACTAATTATTTAATAAAAATTAAATTTAAAATTAATTATCCATTTTTCTTTTACAATAATCTCAAATTAAAACAATCAATGTGTCTTATTATAAAAGATAAATGTGCTAGGGTTTTGTTTTGTTTTCTTTTTCTTTTTGATTGTTTTAATTTGAGATTATTGTGTGTTATTGGCCGATGACCATATTTTGTAACGTTCATATTTATCAACGACAAATTTTCCAATGAGCATATTTCCAAAAATCATGTTTTTTTGTTATTGATAAAGTCATATTTAATTAGTGATAAAAAAGAATGTCCAAATTAAAAAAAATTATATCGGAATATTCGTCTTAATTAATTATTACTACCTGTATAAAGATAATTAATAAGTTATCTAAATAAAATGACAAGATTAACACTAAATTGTGGGTGGTCCAATAAACCCAATAAATCCTACTTGTTCACTATTCCCTCCCATATACACATACTCTTTTCTTTATTAGTTTCTTGTAGGAAAGAGAATATGAGTAGGGTGGCCAAAATTAGAGTGAGCAGGTGATCATTTATCGTGACTACTGATTAAGGGAAGTGAGTCGGGTCAAATCTTTTTATTTTATTTTATTACTTTATAAAAAAGTTGGTTAAAAAAATTTATAAAAATTATTATTTTTTAAAAATAAAATATCTAAATAACCTTAATGACAATAATTATCCACTAATTAAAGGTATTATATTCTCTACTAAAAAAAACGTAAAAATAGTTTATGTTTGGCCACGTTTTTACAAGTGTTTTTCGATTTTAAAAGTTGAAGCAGAGCCAAATATCCCAAAAAGTTCGGCTTTAAAAAACGAAAAATGTTTTTATATATATCATAAAAGCAGAACTCCGATTTGGAGTTTCTGCAAAAAACTGTTTTGAAAAGATAATGTTATCTTTATCATATTTAAACTTTATTTTAAAAAGTATAATTTTATTTCATTTGTATCTTTATTATAATAAAATCAACTATAAAACCATATTATTTAAGACAAAGGAAATATAACAGGATCCATTTTACTATTTAAAATTTTGTTTATATTTTATATTATAAATCTTTTATAATAATTTTACATAACATCTTATATTAAAAAACACTTCTAATAGTTTTCCTGCCAAACACTCAACTATTTTTTTCGAAAAATACTTCTCTAAAAGCTCCAGCTAGAAGTTGTTTCTGCAAAGCTATATCAGGTTCAAACTAGCTCATAATAAAATACACTTCTAACTAGTAGGTCTTATCATGAACTTGTTTTGAGTTTAAAAATAAAAGTGTTGAGTTTCTTTTCATTTCACAAAAACAAAAAAGAAATTAGTTATGAAAACCAGAAAAAAGAGTTTTCCTTCCGATTTGGAGAGAAGGTTAGCACAGTGGATTTTTTGTAGCATTTGCCTTCCCCTCCTCTACTATTTGTCTCTTTGGAAATGGCGAAAAACTCCTCGTGCTTCTCACTTTCCACCCATCTCTTCCCCTTACCTCGTTTTCCTTCCCCCCCCAAAAAAAAAGAGGGTGAAGATAGGACCATTTTTTGTCCAACTGTCCAGCCCTAATTATTAATTATATATTTATATTTACATCTTTGTATATAAGAAAACCATAAGTGACTTATGGATGTTAAGATTGTCATGTGTGTGGAGAGAAATATGACAACTACTAGCGGTGGTTGTTCATCTTGATTATTGTCAGCTAGTTCTTATGTATTAAGTAATTTTTATTATGTGAAAAATACAATATTAGAGAATCTTTCATGTCTTTTAAAATAAATTAATATGAGTGTGCTGCACCAGAAAGGAAGGCGGTGTGAGTTAGTCCAACAAGTTTCATCACTCGCTCTCTCTTAATTAATTACGTATCCGTCCCGTGTGGAGTCGTTTTGCATATAATTGGGAAGAGAAAAAAGTAGAAGATAAAAAACCACAAAATATCTCACTTAAAAAGGAAAAAGTTCAAGAAAATAGCTCTCTTTTTCATTATTTTTAAAAATCCTACATTCTATCTTCTCTCACCTACGTCTCAGTTCATCCTTCCCACCACCATGCTAGCCACTATCATAACTAATTATTACATCTTTTATTTAATAAATCATTTAAAAATAAAAATTATGGAATAATAATTTTTATTATAAATTTTTAGGTATCTAACAAGAGTTTTCTATTTAGCACATTCTACCTTCTTAACTTTCAATACCTTAGCATTACTTATTCATATATATCTTTTTTCCATATCCGGTTAAAATCTACATATTTTGGGATAAAAAATTTATTTAATGGATTTACATAATGATGTTCATTCAAATATGATTTCAATTAAAAAAATTATGCATCTATTAAAATGCTCATAGTTATGTGTTAGGTTCCTTTACGAGAATGATACATAAGTACACTAATATGATATGAAATTTGTACAATTTTAGCATTTTAGTTGTACCCGATTGTTACTAAATGATATGCATCTCTTTCATTTGAATCTTGAAGTTATATATTTTTCATAGAAAAGTTATATTATATGTGATTTCCACAATGTTTTTTTTTTGTTATGATATGGTTAAAATAATAAAAATTATCGTTCTAAAAAATATGGTCACAAATATGTGCTAGGTTCCCTTTACAATAATGTTAAATAATTACGCCAATATGGTATGAAATCGATAAAACCTGTGCATAAAATTTTGTACTTAGTTAGAGTAAAACCGAAATTATTGCACTGTTGTTTTTGTACTACAATAATATTTGAAAGTCCCATATGTGTAATGACATTGTGGATAGACTTGCATTTTTTTAATTAACATACCAAATTGAAAGTTTTATAATTCGTATAAAAAATATGAATAATCAATAAGGGTATAGTTTGGAGCCACCATTTAGAAATAGATATTTGATATCTCTAGTTTGCTTTTAAAAAAAAAATGATAACTATAGTTATTATTCGTGTTGTTGTATTGCATTGGAAATTGATGTTGTGGCATGCAAAATAATTTGTTTGTCATTTTTTCATGTATTTTTTCGGATTACCTATGTTTTGGGTCTTACTTCTCAGTTTCTTCCAAAGATTAGTATGCATACCAAAATATCTTTATATTGCTCGGAAGCACACCTATTTTTGAGGTTGTAAAATTTATCATATTCCAATGAGATTCTCACTATTTAATGGCCATCAACGTGAAAACCAAATTTTTATTTGATATGGCAACTCAAGGTTAAATTGCAAGTTTGGTCACTTGAACTACTAGTAAATTTCACGTTAGCCACTAGAATTACTTTATTCCATTCGTAGTCACTTAAATTAGGTTAACAGTTCAAGTTTGGTCACTGGCCGTTAGTCTCCGTTAACTTTTGCTGATGTGGCAGTCAACTCTTATAGTTGACCGTTAAATGAGTGACGTGGCAATTAAAAAAATAAAAAAAATAATTTTTTTAATAATTTCCACCTCATTATTACAATAATTAAAACAAAAGAATGTGGAAGGAAAAAGAAAACCATTGGCTACCTACATCGGCGGCCATTGTTGGGCATTTTCTGGGGAAATCAAACCCACCGACGGCCACACTTGCACGGTAACTCAACCCTAGACTTTTACCACAGCAACAACAACAGCAAGTGACAGCAAAACTCCATTTTTTGCCACCGGCGGCGGGCTTCATCATATGGAGAACTCCGTCGTCAGGCCCAGATCCAATGGAACACAACGACATACGAAACCAAACAAAAAGCAAAACAAGAAGCTAGAAGATGCATATCTCATCACCTGATCTCTTGTATTGTTCCACTGTGCAAAAGGGCAGCCTTCCGATCCCCGGAGTAGCTTTGGGCCCATATATATGCTTCTTCTTATTACGACTACCTAGCTAGCTAGCTCGAGATGGAGATGGAATTTGCTCCCTTTAATCTGCAGAGTCGTAGCGGGAGCAGAGAATTGCGGGTGATTAATATCTCTGTCTTTCTGATTTAATAATATCTATCATCAACTTGTCTGATTGCAGAAAAAGCACTCCTCCCTCTATATAAAGCCCTCTCCTTTTCTCATTCTTCACTCCAAACTAAAACCCACAGCTTCAGACAGAGATAGAGACAGAGAGAGATGCAGAGCTTGAGAGGAGAAGTGGAGTTGAACATGGGAGCCCAGAGAGCATGAGAGATGTACAGAGACAACGACGTCATCAACAACATCAACCCTCATATGCTTTCGGTTGCCAAGTACATCCATGGCGACGGAAGCCTGGCAGCATCCGACTCTTCCAACTCGGACCTGGTAATTCCATTCATTCAATTGGTAGCTAAAAACCAATTCCTCTGCCTCTCCAAACTGTTTTTTGTTGTGTGTCGTGCAGCTGTGCAGAGCTACGTGAAGGAATCGACGGAGAAGATAGAGAAGGTGGAACCCGGCCGCTCCGTGACGTACAGGGTCATCGGTGGCGACCTGAGGGACAACAATGGTCGGCGGTGGGTTACCGTGAAAGTGTGGCCAGCGGTGGGTTTGATTTCCCCACAAGATGCCCAACAATGGCCGCCGATGTAGGTAGCCAATGGTTTTCTTTTTCCTTCCACATTTTTTTTGTTTTAATTATTTTGTAATTATTGTAATAATAAGGTGGAAATTATTAAAAAATTATTTATTAATTACTTTTTAATTGCCACGTCACTCATTTAACGGTCAACTATAAGAGCTGACCGCCACATCAGCAAAAGTTAACGGAGACTAACGGCCAGTGACCAAACCTGAACTGTTAACCTAATTTAAGTGACTACAGATGGAATAAAGTAATTATAGTGGCTAATGTGAAATTTACTAGTAATTCAAGTGACCAAACTTGCAATTTAGCCGGCAACTCAATATAGGAGTTGGATCTATAGTCATACTTCTGGAAGTGGCTCGCAATTGATTCCCATATAAATACTATTTTTCATCTTGATATGATAATTATCAACTAGCAACGACAAACTAATATTTTCTTGACGGCCACATGAATTTTAAATCTACTATTCAAATTTGAAAATATTAGAAATATTCTTACTTTTTCTTAGGATAATGGTATTTGGGTGCAAATACTCAAACACGTGATTAAGGATTGACAATCTTTGTTTCATGACCACATAGTATATGCTTTTGAGAACTTCAAAGTGAGTTTACCAAGAACAGATTACATGCCAATTTCAAACAAATTGGTAATTAATTTCCATTCAAATACTACACACCAAACTTTGGATGACATTCCGACTATCCCTACTTTAAACTTGATTTCATAAAAAAAGATGAAATTTAAAATTTTGTTTTGAATGAAAGGGGAGAAGAAGAAAGAAACTGTTGATGGTGGGGATATGTTTCATTAATAGAGATAAATGTGATCTTTTTGTTGGAGATGATAATGTTGGTGCAGAGCAATCGAAAAGAAGTCAAAAAGAAAATTTGTAGTAGTCTTTGTCATCGATGAGTAAATTGAAGTGTGGTAAGATTGTTTTATATAATTCTACTATTATTTATGTTCTTCATGAAATATGTTTGCTCAACAGGCAAGTCAAATCTTGTTGCAATATATGATTCTTCCCTCTCTCCCAATTTCTAATTCTCCCAAGTCCCAACGAATGTATTCAATTAATTGAGTTTCATACTACTATTTCTATAAACTTACTAGCTTGGAATATATTAACAATTATTTATGAACTCTAGATAAATTATCCATATTGTATTTTACTAATTATATATACTTGTAACTTATATTACTAAATTTAAGTTATAAATAATGTGTAATGACTAACATATTCATGGAATGTATCATACTATAAATTATTTGGCTGCTAGATGTACTTCGTTGTATATATTTCGGCTAATCAAAATCTTTGATTATTAATCTTTATTACATTGAGTTCGTGTTTGGAGCTTAGAGAATCATGATGTAGTGTATTAGAGGTTAGTATATGGTATTGTATTTGTATCCCAAACTCGATTTAATACATATTTCAAATAGAGATCTCTCACTAAAAAAACCTACAAAATAATATATTTTACGTTTATAACAATTTGATCCTATTATGATGATATATTATATACAACGTTAGAGGTTAGTATAACAATCTGAACCTACTAAAATGAAACCATAAGTAATCAATTTCTTGATAATCCAATACGTAATGCCTTGCTAGAAAACACCCTCATACAATGATCCCGCCAAACTGCACTAATAAGAAACCACTCCAATCTCCAAAGTTTACTACAAATATGTGAGGAGCTGAACTTCCGTAGAGCTAAACTAAAAGTATAGATGCGCCTTCATTCCTCTGCCCCTTCTCATAGAAGAAACAAAAATGTCACCCACTACACTGCATCTTCTAAATGTATCTAATGTTTAAATTTTATCAAATATAGCTACTCGAACTACAAACAAAGGCTGCAAATTTTCAAAGTTATACAAAAAAAAGTTAGTGGTAGGATATTTTGTACTAAAATCGTAGTTTAATCGTTATCGAAACGTTTTGTACTGCTAAAACCACCTCCCATGTGATAGAGATATTATTTTGTTAATGATGTAATAGTAAAATAATTTAATTGTGTGTTTGGTGATATTTTCATTAATTATGATGTGGATCAAATTTGTTATTCCTTACTACTCTTGTTCATGGTTAAAACTAAAAAGAAGATAATTTGAGAAAAATTATCAATTTTTTTTTATTTGCTAATTTTTCCGGTCTATGAAAATTTCACACGTTGTTTTACTTGAAACGTTAAATACTTTTACGTTTCATGTAATAATTTTACTTATCGCATAAAAAATGATACGTGTGACGTAAATCAGTGTTATATTCCTTTCATGGTTACATAGGATGTAAAAAAAAACAATACATTTAAATTCATTTCAGACGTCAGGGAAATTCATATTAGAGGTTGCGCTTGACGCGTGACTTAAACCCAACACCTTACGAGATATTTTTATTTTATTAATTTTAAAAATTTATTATTTTATAAAAAAATAGAATATATAAATAACCTTAATGACCATAATTATCCACTAATTAAGGTTATCTATTCTCTACTAAATAAACAACGAAAATATAGCCTATGTTTGGCCCGGCTTTTAGAAATGTTTTTGACTTCAAAAGTTGATGTAGAGCCAAACACCTCTAAAAGTTTGGCTTTTAGAAAGCCGAAAAGTACTTTTGTATAACATAAAAGCAGAAGCTCCAATTTAGAGCTTTTGTGAAAAACTATTTTGAAAATACAAGATTATCCTTACTATATTTTAACAATATTTTAGAAAATACAATTAAATTTCCTTTGTATCATTATAAAAATAAAATAAACTATAAAATTATATTATTTAATACAAAAGAAATCTAACAAGTTCCATTTTGTAGGGGTGGGCAACGGGACGGGATACCTGTCCTATTTGAAATGGGAACCCAGTGCCATTTGTAGAACAAATTTCCTCCCTTATCCAAAATCCATAAGGGTTAACGGTTACTTGTTACTCGTACGAGACGGATAATGGGTTTATACCCATTTAACCTGGAAAAAAGAAGAATAATGCTACTGTTGTTGTCGGTTGTCCACAATTTCCTAACCATAGAGAAAAACATTCATAGTATTGTAGAGAAAATCCATTCATAGTGTTGTCCACAAATGAAAATGACAAAATCACCCACTGTCGATAAATGAAAAGGAAAAGTGAGGGAGAGGTGAGCCAGATAGCCAGCCGTCTCGTCTTCTTCCAAGGGAGTGCCAGAGGAGAGGAGTGGCCGGCAGCGTTGGGGGTCGGGGCTAAGCGGGTAGGTCGGTGTCGAAAGGGAAATAACCGTCGGGGTTGGGCGGAGAGGAGTGTGGGTGGTCTGGCGGTCTTCTCACTTCTGCTGGCTGCTGGCTGCCTTCTTCCGAGTCTACCTAGGCTGATATTCTCTTTCTAGATCAAAGCAGGAACTACAGGAATTTGATTAGGATTCATGCAATTCAGAAAACCATGCCTCAATTGAGTATAATCGATGTCAAAGAACATGAACTTGGGTTCATACAACCAAACCTAACACACAAATCTAGGGTTCTTCATACCTAGGTGAGTGAGAGAGTTTACTCCATAGAGAGAGAAGAGAAATCAGTTTCAGATGCGGAAATCATTCTGTGAAGGATGAAAATCAACTTCTGGTAACCAATCGACACTTCTCCAAGTTTCAACCGAGCTCTAATGGTGTTGAATCTCGATCTAGGGCACTTGGAAGTTCTGTTCGTCGCTCTCTCTTTCTCTCTCTCTCTCTCTAGGTTTTTGCTTTCTTTCTCTATAACTCGGATCCCTCTCAAAAGAGGCCAACTTTGCTTGAAAAGGAGCAGATCGCGATACCCGATCGAGGGTCAGAATACCCGATCGGGTATTTAAGCGTCACGGTCGGGTCCCCTTCTGCTCTCCCGACCTCCCAAACAGCTTTACCCGGTTGGGTATTTCAATGCCTGACCGGGTACTTTTGCCTTCCTGCTCCTCTAGCTCCAACTCGCCACTTTTTGCCAAGTCCTGAAATATGACATAAACGAACAACCTAGCGTGAAATCGGCTTCAAACACGAGAATCGACTCTCAAACGGTTCAAGAATGGTGGTCAAAACATGTACAAATAATGGTCTATCACAGACAGAACTTGAGGAAACTAAAACTTGGCGCCAAAGGATGGAGGCAGAACAACAGTGGGGCCATTCGTGGATGGAGGACTTTGGCAGGAAGTTCCACATCCTCTTTTTCCCAACAGTGGACCACCACGACCCAACATCTAGAAGTATCAAGACTTTGAGGAAGCTATTTATCTTTTATTTTAATTCGAATATTTCGAGTCGTCTTGTGCAATCATGTAGAATTAGCTATTATGAACTATGAATTCAGACAACAAAATTCAAGGTAACTCATTCCAACCTTAACATGGATCACTATGTTTTAGTCCATTGATGACAATGTCCATTTTAATGTGTGGGGTGGGAATGTATTCAGATGTTTTGCCTTAATATGCTTACTACTTGCTACATGATTAGTCATCCAAATTTGATACATTTCAATGCTAAATAGTTATGGTATGTGCTTAAATGTATTTGAAATTACTAAAGATGTTTTTCCATCTAATGAATTATAGTCATCCCCTACAAGTATGATCACTTCTCATCGATATTCTGTATAGAAGTTCATGTATATGTGGTTATCGATACTCTTCCTTTGCATTTTGTGACAAAGAAATCTCTCAGGATATCTTTTCTTTCAAGGAAGATACAATAACAATCTCCTCTAATAGTAAGCCTACCAGGTATCACAAACAAGGGATGTGCCAATGCCATAAATCGTCTAAACCATTCATGCTCGACATATCAAAAGGGAAGCTCATCCAATATTATCATCTCAGCTAGATCTATACTACAGAAATCAGAGGAGGTGGGGCGGCGGGAGCAATTTTTGGGGAGGGTCAGATTTAGGGTTCCTCTCTCTCGACGCGATTTGCTTCCCTTGTTTGTCTTTAATCGTGATTCGCGATCAGATGGAGATGGAATGTGGGCAACGACGTCGCCTTGGCCAGGCGTGGGAAGACCGACGCGGTTAGGGGTGGTAAACGGTCGGTATCGGTATAACCGGATACCGATAAGCCGGTTACCGGTATACCAAAGTTGGGCAAACTACTACCGACTACCGATACCGAGGGATTGTCGGTTTACCGGATACCGAATAAACGGTTGCCGGTTAATGCGCCGGTTACCCGTCCCCGTGTTGTTGCCTGCAGGTTGGAGAGAGATTCTTCGGCGCCAACTCCTTTTCTCAGGAATCGGATTTGGAGATCTAGAATCGAGGAGAGCCTCCGCGCGAGGGTGCAGTAGATTACGCCGGAGATTCAAATGGATCGGGAGTAATCCTGGGCTGCAGAGGCGACATGCAAGCTACGAGAGGAGTCTATGTTAGGAGATGTTGGGAATCGCCCTCTGGGTTCTCCACAACGGCGGCGACGACGGCGGTAGCAGAGGAGTGGAGAAAGGCGACGATGACGACGAACCCAGTACTTTCTCCTACCTGTAGCGATGACGAATCCAGATCCGCCGACGAATAGCCGGCGGTACATCAATCTGAACATGACAAATCAACGACGGCAGTCCAGATCAGTAAATCCTATAAGAATGGGAGAGGATTTCATTCAGATGCTGGGGATTTCATTCAAGGTTGCATATGTGCAACAATGATTTGGGGATGAAGTTTTGATTGAGAGAGTCACATAAGAGGGATTTTTTCTTGGCAGAGACGGAGAGAGTAGAGAGAGGAGGGAATAGTTTCTTGGCAGAGATGGAGGAGAGAGTCGGAGAGAGGAGGGAATAGGTGGGTCTCGATTGAGAAAGAGAGGAGAAATAGTGGTGGGGGCAATTATTCGGTATATACCGATTACTGCCGGTTAATTACCGAGTATGGGTCGGCATACCGATGATAAAATTTCGCCTACCGTATACCGATACCGTCGGTTAACGGTTTAATCGGTAACCGTCGGTTACCGTACGGTTACCGGTTAAACCATTAATCGTCTAACCGGTTACCACCCCTAGGCGCGGTTAACCGCGAGGATTGTGATTATCAACCGCTAACCGCACTTCGCTTTCTTCGTCAGAAAATGACAACCACAACCGCAAACTGCAGCATTATTTCGGTTATCGGTTGACCGATAAACCGAGAATTTCAGTTCGGTTACGCTATTAATCGAGTGACCGGTGATCGATAAACATGCCTAAGCGATAACACCTCCCAATACAAATTGATTAATAACAAATGTTTTGGAGCCATCTATTCCTCTTTTTAAAAGAAAAACAGTCATTAACCCTTTCCCCTAAACCCATTGTCTCTCTGCTGCTGCTAACTGTTAAAACATCGTTGTCTGGAAAAGCAGTAGAGAGCTAATAACTTGCTATGAGAATTTATTATTTGCTTCGGAATCTCCCCCCTTATCCCCCACCGCCACCATAATAAGTCGTTTTCAAAACACTCTCGCCCCACTCCTCACAGTCCTCTGAACATGAATATGAATATACATACCCTACTCTGCCTTCTATATTCTCCGCCTTTCCCCTCTCTGCTTTCTTCTTCCTCTGCTTCCACCGTTCCACTATTTGAGTATTTACTCTATCTATACTCTGCCTCCCGCTCCCGACCTCTCTCTTTCTCTCTCTCTCTCTCTCTCTCGTAGCCTTTCTTCCCTTCTCTCGCTTTATCACCCACTCACTCATCCCTTTCTTCCTATATATACACACATATTCCACGTCTCTCTCGTCACGTCCACACGCCCTTCTTCCTTCCAAGATACTGTTATCGTCCGATTTTGCTCAAGTAATCTAAGCGCTAGCTTAGCAACATGGAAGTAAGTCGACTCTCTGTTTCTGGCTCGCTTAATTTGATACTCTGCTTCGTCAATTACTCTCTATTTCTCACTCAAATTTGTGACTCTGTTTCGTTAGTAGTGAATTAACATGTGGGTTTGGTAAAAAAATAAATTTTTTTTACCAGGAGTATTACTATGGAGGTGGGCATGTACCGCCGTTCGGGAGCTGGGACTGGAACAACGATCTCCCCTTCACTCAGTGCTTCGAGTCGGCCCGGCAGGCCGGCTTCCTTCGCTACAGCTACTCCGAGGATCGAGATCTGTACGTCGCCGGCGATTTGTACCAGAACGACGTCGTCACTCCTACCGTGATCGTCGTCCCTCGCCGCCCACGCGTAAGCCGGTTTTACCTTTTCCAATCGATTTCTTCATAGCAGGAGTCAGTAAAGTATAGGAGAAAGCAGAGTAAAGGAGATTCATGAAAAGAAGTTGATATCCACTTTGAGATACCCAAAAAGAAAAAAACAGTTTCAAAAAGAGGAAAGGAGAAAGGGGTTTTGTGATGATAATGTCACACTCTGCTTTTTTCCTCCACACCCTCCTTTTGACAGTGGGAATTCTCAAATTTTCGTTGCCACGGTCCATAATTGTGAATGGAGAATTGTTGTACTACAGAGCAAGAGTCAAAAACCTTTGCTGTTATTACTGTTGGAGTGGGTGTGAATTGGGGGAGCTAATTCATGATGTTTACTGCAGCAGCAGCAAGGGAAAGTGCGTCAGTCCCGCATCAAACAAGGCAAAACAACGGGAAAGGAGTGCGAGGGCGTGGTTGTTAAAGAACCGCCGAGCCCACCTCCGAATTCCACCGCTACCACGCGCCGGAATCCGAAGCCGGTGGACGAAGATCTGTACAAGATCTCGCCGGAGCTTCTCTATGCATCATCCAAACCCAAAAAGGTGAATTAGTTTTCCTTTCTTTCCCCCTTTTCATTTCTGGCAAGGCAACCCCTTTCGCTTTTCTTTCTAATTTGTCGCCTGATCTTTAATTATCAGCAATGTCTCCTTCTTTGACCTTTTTTAGTACACTCCACTCCATTAAAAGAAAAAGCAGAGCACTATATGGTAATTGCAAAGGTGTGGTCGTTATCGATCGAAGTCGAACTAATTGGTTGGTGGGGAATGTTTGGTTTTGACAGAAGAAGAGAGGGTTTGGGATTTTGTCGAGCTGCTTGCTGCCTACCTGCGTCGTTTGAATGATCTGATGGTGCATTGAGTGTCCAGCTTAGCTATGAACTGGGCGGTGCTGCTTCGGTACATATTATTATGATAATTATAATGATGAAAGCAGAGGATATTAATTACTGTTATTATTATCGTTATTATTAGATAATTCTTATACTATGGTTTGGATGAGAGCGCGGACTTTTGCTTATTATTATTGTATTTAGTCAGCCGGTAGTAGCTAGTGAACTCTAATTTTTTGGGTTGAACAAAGCTCTTTTGCTATGTGAACTCTCTCTCACTCTCACCTTTGTAAAGAGAGGGAGAGAGTATAGAGATTGGATGTTTGTGTTTTTATTTTCAAGAGTGGGGGTTTGTTTGTGCTATGTTATGTCAAGCAAGAAAAAAAGGGACAACATTGCTTTCCTTTCTCTTTTCCCCCCTTACTTTCCCTCGTAAAGATAATGCTTTTAGCTAACTAAATCATCAATCAACGTGTATGTGTATGTGTATGGTACGGCTTTTGCTTTCCATGGTTCATTTTATGGCTTGATTTGGATAATATAGTTTAACATCATGTTAACTATTCTAATTACATTTCATAATTTTTTGTTCTTTTTCATAAAGAGAATTTTTTATTGAACTTTAACTAATTAATTACAAAGAGGGATAAAGAAACCAACATTCTGGTTCCAACAAGAGGAAGGGCCAATGGCATTTGGTTACAAACAAACCATATTAAGCAAAAACAGCAACATAGAACGAAACACAGCTTGACAACAGCCACCCAAAAGAGCAATACCCTTGGAACGAAAACAAATCATCCAGAATCTCTCTTGCACCAAACCAATGAGTGCAACAAGATCAAAATCAGCTTGTCCGATCATATCCAAATCCATGACCTAGTGATCACAACAAACCATTTGCCGCCTCCTGGGGAAAATTCGAAGGCACCCATAAAAAAAACAATGAATCCTAGAAACAAGATTGCATCGTAGTGGAGGAGAATATGAAACAGACTGCTCCAAGCTGAAGAGGCAGAGGAAGTCGAGGTAGAGAGATCGAGTTCGCAACAGAGCAAAAGATCACAAGGGAGCCACAAACCTCCATGGAAAACACTGATTCTCAACCGTAACCACCGGGGAAGACCCTACCCTCCACGATTCGACGGCTCCCCAAGCAACACAAACACACAGGGGAGGTCAGAAGGGCAAAGACGAGAATGGCTTCACGACATAATGAGACCACTAACTTGGGAAAATCACCCCCCATCCTGATATGGAAGATGCTCCCAGACTGCTAACTCCGGATCCTACATTTAGCTAGCCCATAACAGAGAACCCAAGATCCGAAAGAAGAGCACTAGCTCAACTCGAAAGGGGAAAAGCAGAAGGCCGCAACGACAATGAAAAAATCAAACTAAAGTTCGATGGCAAATGCCTAGATCAAAAGCAATAGAACAAAGCATGAAAAAAAAAAAAAAGAAATGTGGTAGATTAGGCCACCACCACTCACCAAAAGAGAGCCGGCGGCAACCCCCTGAAATAAGAAGAGGACTGGAGGAAGAGAGAAGCCAGTGCAAAATTCAAATAAAAGTTCTAGTCTGTCTCAGTTGAAGTAAGAAATTCACTCACAAGGTAATCATAAAAATGGGTTGCTAGCAACTGCCTTGCTAGCTAGGGTTTATAACCCAAAAGAAGCAGAACATTGTGCCTGACTACTACAATCAATCTCAAAGACCAAAAGCTACTAATCCGCCCAGAACATATGAGTCCGGTGACTACCCAACACTACACACTTCACTTCTGATTAGATCATTCTTATCATGGTAGGAAGATCTCTAGACTTAAATGCATACAAACGATTACATCGCTCTCTCCAAATGTGACTCACCCAAGCCTGCCATATGTGTCTCCCTGTTTCAGCGGCCTCATTCGATGCCCCAAGCTTCCTTATCATCAATGATAGTTCTTCCTCCCAAGTAACCTGCAGAGGGAGCCTGCAGAAACTGGAGAAGAGTTCTTCAAATAGTCGTCTGGAGAAGAGTCCTTAGCTTAAGAATTCTGTTCCAGTTCCATGAGCCATTTGTGCATGTATATGTTCAGAAATCTCGCCCTTTTAACCGGAGAGAATAAGAAAAATATATAGCAATTAGGGTTAGAAGTTTTTGGGTTGTTGATTATTTAACATAACCTCTATTGAATGTTAACCATTAGATCAATTTTGTTTTATCTTTCCACTATAAACATAATTATTTTTTGGTCAAATTTACTATAAACATAATTAGTATATGCTAACTAGGACATATGTAAGCATCCTATCTTCTCCTTTTATGACTTCTTTTGCAGCTCATTTGATGTGGAGGGTAAAGAGATCTAAAGAATATGGTGGAGAAATGTTGCTGTCTGTCTAAATTGGACCAATTGACTGACTCCATTAAATATCAAAATTTCCCATGAACACACACCACCTTTCATGAGTTGGAGAAAAGAATGGTAGACAAGAAATGAGAAGGAATTATAATTTACTAGTAGTAGTATATGTGACCACTGTACAAAAATGAAGAAGGTCGTTTTCATTTTTCAGTAGACAAAAAGGGAAGAACACCTACCAAATACAATTTTACAGGGGTGGGGTTATCTTCCTTTTGGAAAGGTGATTCAAACAAGGTGAGTTTGGCTATAAGGATTAAGGATTGAAAACAAATTAGGAACAATTGGGTTAAAGAATAAAAGGATAAATATAATTAATTACTCAAATCTTCTAACTTTAATAAAATATATTAGCTAATTTTTCTCCACGTTAGATTCCACAAAATATAATTCAAATTTCTTTAATTATCAAAATAATAGTCGCACTTTTATAAAATTTCTAAACTTTTTAGTTTTTGTTTTGTTATCGTTAATGACACTCCAAATCAATTGGAACATAATAAGATTCCACTAAAAAAAAGAGTTAATTTTTTCCAATTTAAAGTTGACTAATATTTTGCTAAAATGAAAAAGTTTGACTAGTAAATAAATTATATTTGGTATAAAAAAAAACAAGGTTGAAACTTTGAGCTTCTTTCTGACTTATGTTTTGAATTCGTGTGTTGTGGAATGCATGGTCCATGAAATCGTACCGGGAGAGTCAGCGTTAGGGTATTTTATAGTAAAACCGTGGTTTAATCGTAGTTCAACCGTTAGACCGTTAAATACCGTCTACCGATTTAGCCTTCAAGACTGATATTTCGTGTTGAACCGCCGGTACGGTACGGTTTCATGGACAATGGACTGGAATGGAGATCGGATGAGCGGTGAGGGTGGTGGGGAATTCCCAAGTTCACGAGAAGGGACAGGAAATTTAAAGCCCTCTAATTTCCATTCATTAATTTTGTTGCAGCCACTGAAACTGCAAGCAAAGCATGCAGAAGAAGAAGAAGAAGAAGATGGAGTCAAAATAAAGATAGCCCAAGGAGAGGAGCGGACTGGTGGTTCACGTGCCTTGCTTTGCCTTTTTATTCCCACTGTATTGTTTGTTTGTGCTGACTGCGGAGGCGTGAGGGAGAGTGTGAGGAGGAAAGCGTTGTCTCATTCCACAGCTTCCCCCATTTGAAAACCCTAATAAATAATCAAGCGAAGGGAAGGTAAGGAAAGCAACACACAGAAAGGAATGGAAGTAGAGCAGCCAGCAGGCATCTGGACATTCGTCGTTGTTGCTAATCTAAACTAAACACATTTAACTCTTTGCGTGCAACGGTTACCCAACCCCCAAACCAATGCAACGCAAATTGATTACTACCACAGTTTAGATAGGAAGCAACATAAAATAACCCAAATCCGATACTCGTAGTATTCCGTTTGATAGCCTGCAACGCTGCTTACTAATTCTTCTTCTTCTGCTCGTGGTAAATCAAAAGGCAATCTCTCGCGTCGTTCTGCCAGGAAAGAGATTAAAACCCATATTTTAATTGTGTGACTCAAGTATATCAAAACTAAATCCTATCTCATCACAAACCATGCTCCTAGCTACTATTTCCATTAACATGTCCTATCTCCCTTGTTTCTTTTCTTTTTTTGGTCTTTCTAGCTCCATTTTGGGCAACCAAACTCTCAAGATGTTTTGCATGAATAATTCACAAGACAGATCAACAGTTTCATAATACAATTTGTTCGAACGATATTATCGAGAAAGTATACCCATAAAACATATTAATAATAATGAAGTTTCAAAATTGTTAATAAAAATTTAGATGAGTTTACTCCCTCCAAATTAATGATCCTCTTTGTTGACAAATAAATTGAACACATTTCTTTTTACTATTGCTTTAGCTCGGTTTCCAACTTTTTTCACTATTTGGGTAAAAAAAAACTCCTTTCGAGGAGGAAAGCAGGAGGAGGACTTTAGTTTTGGGGAGCAACCTTCCTTCATGGATGGAGATTGCAAGAAGAAGGGGGAAGCACAAGCAACTTTGCTATAATGCTCACATTTTTCATTTATGAGTAAGTGCTTATAAAATGTTCAACTGTTGGATCTTGTGTTGGGCGGTCCACAACAGTTGGATGAACGCGGTGATAATTTTACGACTAATCACCAAGCACCCAACGTTCAATTTAATAACTGAGCACTTTGTGAGCACGTTCTTACGTACAGAAGTGCAAGCACAGAATAGGCAGGACAGGGCAAGCCCCAACTAACTAACTAGCATTGAATTGAAAAGGGCCACCACGCCCTGAGCTCCAGCTGCTGCTGCTGCTTTTGCTTTATTTTTCTGAGAGAAGATAAGGAAGGAGAAATGATACAAAGTGGGGGACTGAAAAAGGCAATAAAAAGAGAATCACCAAATGGGAACAAGGAAAGATGAAAAGAGAAGGCAGATGATATGGAATGGAATGGGGGAGAATCAACAACAGAAGAAACAAAAGGCCGCCCAGCTTATACTTGCAGTATTCTTTTGCTTTTCTTCCATATGGCATTTCTCTCATCTCTTAGCTGCTTGAATCTTGATTGGGATGCTTCGGGTTCAGGTTCGGGATTTCAGTCACAGGGTTAAACTGAAAATTTTCATTTTTGCAAAAGTGCGAATGTTAATTAAATGTAAAAGGAGAGTAGGACCAAGACAGAGTCACTAGATTTCGACCTCACTTGATTAGGGTTACACTTTACTGTCAAAAAAAAAAAAAGATTAGGGTTAGACTTCTAATTTGATATATACTAGAGAGGGAGGCCCGCATCATGTTGCGGTGGCTGTAGATGAGTTTTGAATAGTTCTTGTGCCCATTTCTAATTTTGTGTCGGATCTTTAGATTATATGTTCATTTGTGTGATTGAGTGAGTTGATGGGTTGAAATAATAATGGCGAACCACATAAAAAAAAGGGAAATGCATGCACTTATTTCTCATATTATGATGCATAAATGTTTGAGAACTGATTAGCATATCCGGAGAACATATAACACAGCACAACAAAGATAATAAAAATGTCCTTTGAAGGGAGGATGAGATTTCAATTGGTGAATACTCTACCAAAGAGTCGAGAAGTTAGGTAGAAAATTACATGAAAAACGGGTTAAAGACATTCTTTTTGTCAAATACAAATAGAGACGGGCAAGTGACGTGAACATATATACGAAAATAAATTCTCGGATCTTGTTTCTCCACTGCTGATCTTGGTTCTCCACTGCTGTAACAAACTATGTTTCCCCTTGTTCGAATTGGAATAAAGATGCCACATGTTGTAATTGCGCTTACTCCCAAGTTAGCCACGAACGCACCAAGACATTTGTCGTTGTGATCCCAGAGAAGACCCTCAACCGTCGCTTTTGAGTTAGGTTGCTTAACTGACCCGTCAGTATTGACTGTGATCCATCCCTCTAGCGGGGGTATCCAGGCCATCTCTTGACTTCTTCTGTCGTTGTCCCTTCCCAGCGCGCGAGAATCATTCTCCATGGCTTGTTGGATGGTTCTTGTCCAGCACTGGATTCGGTATGCTAGGGAGTGTGCCTCTTCCCATTTTTGGTTGAAGACCCGCTCATTGCGCCGCCGCCATAGGTACCAAGCCGCCACGTCGAACAACCTTCCATGATTTGTGTCGAGGAGATGTGCAATCATCCAACCTGAAAATTGAAGGTCGCAAGTGAGTGTATTATCGCTAATCCCCAAATGTTGCCATACCTTTTGTGCCTCAAGACAGTGTCTAATAAAGTGTTACGTTGATTCTGGCTCGGTGTTGCAGATGACGCATGTTTCCAAGCTACAAAGATTCCTCCTCTTCCGTTCACAATTGGTTATCAGACGATTGTGAAAAACGAGCCACAGAAAGTGACGAAATCTGTTTGGTCCGTTCCACTTCCAAGTTGTCTGGCAGCGTCTCATATCTTGGGGTTCCTCCTCTTTATCCATTCATTCTTCTAACCAGGCGCTTGCCGCTGCATAAGCTGACCGGAGTCAGAACTTTTCATCAGCTTCTAGTCCCCACGTCGTGATGTCTTCGCCAGCCTCTGGGATGGGAGTTTCCGTACCTGCAATAAGGGCAGAGATCTCATGAGAGATTAAGGGCAGAATGTTCGGCCAATTCCACTCACCTATGTCCGAGCACATATCTCCGATTGTTGCATCCCAGTGGGGCAGTTGTCTCGGCGTGTTGATATGATCTTGAAGAATGATGCCGGCAGCAAGCCACGGATCTTGCCAGAATTTAACTGAATTGTCATTCCGCATGTCCCAGATAATGTGCTACTTGAGAACGGGCAACGACGTCAAGACTCCTTTCCAAATTATGCACACGGGATCACGCTTATAAACCAAGCCACCATTATTAGCTTGCTTTACATATTTCTCCCGCAGGATCTTTATCCATAGTTGATCTTCATTGTTGAGAAAGATCCACCCCAACTTCATCATGTAAGCCAAATTCAGGGCTCTTGCCTAGCGGAGGCCTAAACCACCTTCTTCTTTTGGTTTACATATCTTTTCCCAGGAAACAAGATGAGCTTTCTGTCTACCCTCTTCTCCGCCCCAAATGAACTTGCTGATTTTCCTGTCAATTGTATCGCAAACAGACATCGGAAGGACTGCAGTTTGCATAACATAATTAGGTAAAGCATTCAGAATAGAGGTGGCGAGGGTAACTCGCCCGGCGAGGGAGAGATTCTTGACTTTCCAGCCCGACAAACGCTTGTCTAACTTCTCCAAGATGTACTAATAGGTTCCTTGCATCACCCTTCCGTGAATGAGAGGAACACCAATGTACTTGCCCAAATTGTTGGTTTGGGAGATACCCATCACTCGGTTGATTTTGTTCTTGGTTTGGACAGTTGTGTTCTTGGAGAAGTAGATGCATGATTTGTCTTTACTAATCTGTTCTCCCGACGCCCAACAGAAACGATCTAAGAAATCCAAAATTGCTGAGCTTTGTTGAACGGTAGCCTCACCAAACAACACCAGATCATCTGCAAAAAAAGGTGGTTTAGGGGAGTTTCATTGTTTGATAGATAAATAGGATTTGAAGACCCTCTATTAACCGAATCTTTAATGCAACGGCTAAGACGTTCCATGCATAAAGTGAAAAGATAAGGAGAGAGTGGGCAACCCTGACGTAAACCGCAAGTCGATTTAAACTCTTATGAGCAACTCCCGTTCCAAACAACTTGAATTGCTTGTAGATTTTTCACTATTTGTGACACCCTATATCGTATATACTTTTTTTTGGTTAGTGTATTGTAATATGATGTCTTGAGCATTACTAACCACAAACCTTTAGATAACTAGTTATTCATTTACGATTTGGAAAAGTACTATTGCATCTAGGGGTGTTCAAACATAATGCTTACCGTGGTAACCGTTTTAACTGGTAGTATTTGGATAATTGGTTTGGTTAAAAAATTTAGCATTTTTGGTTTAGGTATTTTGGTTTCAGAAACTCCTAACCGATCAAACCAAATTAACCAGTTAACTAATTAATCATATATCTAATATATTATACACACATACTTAATATTTTGCATAACCACTTAAGAGTCAAATGTAAGATAATTGTATTTATTACATGTATTACGTGAAGGGTCAACCATAATTATGTCTTGATTGTTATGTGTTATTAAATATATAAATTGCAAATCGACGCACTAACCAGAAATTTTTCTCACTTAATGATAATGTAATGATATATTGGTTATTTTGGTTAACCAATTAACTAGAGGTGGCAATTTCAATCCAATCCACCAATCCAATCCATCATTCCATTAAAAATATCCACCTAATCCCATCCATTTAAATCCAATCCATTTTATCCAAATCCAATTGGATTGGTGGATTCATGGATTGGATCCATGGATCATTGACAAATTACGGTTTAGTACCTATAATTTTTATTTTTTACATTTTGGTACCTAAAATTTAATTTTTTATACAAAAAATATCATTGGAAAATTATGTTTTGGTACCTAAAATTTTTCATTATGACATTTTAGTACCTAAACTTTTTACATTTTACATATTGGTCCTTGGTTGAGGATGTCATTTGGATTCATGGATAATCCACCAATCCACTTGATCCAATCCATGAATCCACCAATCCATTAGATCCAATCCATTTGATCCATGGATCCACCAATCCATCAATCCAATCCATTTGCCACCTCTACAATTAACCAAACTGATTAAACTTTAGTTTGGTTAATTTAGTTGTATTAGTTTAGACAGTTTGCTTAGGATATTGTATCCCACGATTAATAAAATTTAGGTTTATTTGGTTTGGTAATTACCATGGTAACCATTGAACACCCCTACTTGCATCTAGAGGAGACCAAACAGCCTAAAAACAACTAATTCACACATTTTTATGTTTATTCACGCCATTTTGAGTTTATTTACGCAATACTATACTTATTCACGTAAATAAAATTTCACTTTTCCCCCTACTAATCTATATTGACTCTATTTTTTGGAACTAAATTTGGATTATCAATCAATCTGTAAAAAATAATTTGCATTCGTCATAATCTACAATGACTTCCATTTTGATATATTAAAAGTTTAAAATTTTATTTTACAATAACATAAATAAATAACAATATGTGTGACTAAACAATATTCATTGCGTGAATAATTAACTGTCATACATGAATAATGCCAATATGGTTTGAATAAACTTAAATTTATGTGAATAAATGAAAAAAATGCATAAATTAGGTATTGTACCACTAGAAGTGCCAAGAGACTGGACTCTTAGAATTTATTATGTGTTCATTATGAAAAGATAATCTTTTAAACTTGTTTCTTTTCTCCTTATTCTCTGTTTATGTCCTTTCTTGGTTAAACTATTTTCTCTGTGAAAACCGGTTGATATCTATGGGAGATGTTTAAACCCTGCAAAATTATGTGTATGTGTGGAGTCGTATTTTTCTTTTGATGGGTGGTCTTCAATCGGAAATCTCTTATTTAGAGGGAGATTATAGGAAACTCGACAAGTCAAAATTGCCTCTTTCCATATGACAAAGAGCTGTTGCTCTCATCAAGGTGCAGAAAAGGAAACTACAGTCTCGCGCTCTGAAATCAGCAAATCAAGAAGAGCACTTCCCTTATGTCCGGCCACCAATCACCAACGGCTACTCTGCTTAAACTATATATAAGACACATAACTTCAGTCTTCAGTTGAAGAAGATAACATTTGTAATCCAGTCGTCAGTTAAAGAAGATAACATTTGTAACTAGCTAACTTATTGCCCGGCCCGTTGGCCGGAATGTTCATATTTGATTATTTATATTCTTATGTTACGTTTAAATCTATCAACTCGTTTAATTTTATTGACGATACTTCAATCTTTCGATCGAAATGGCACATAAAAAAATAATATATAAGTCGAACATTCGGAGAAATACCATCATCATTAAGAATATAAGATATAAAAATGTATCATGGATCCCATTTTTATAATGATAATTAAGCCCCCGTTAAAATGCTATTGGTTAGTTGATTGTGAAGAAAGATGACTATAAAGGCTCACTGAAATTCCCACACGACCCATAGATAGTTTGAAACTGAATATTGAACCTCACAATTCTACATAAAGGGTTCAATGCTCTCCTGTTAGGAACAATATGCCGCTAATCAAAAAGAAACAGAGAGTTGTTAATTCAAGTCAACTACATACTAACAACTCAGCTAAGAGGGGACCGTCAAAACTTAAGAGCAAATGACAAAATTAGGATTACCTCCAATATACTCATAGATTCGATCAAAATAATAAGACACAAAATTAGATGCTCCTTATCTATAAGTTCCAGTAGGTTGAATGAAAAATCGACCTAATTCTGTAAATCAATCAATGATTCCTTGTTTTAAGATAGAAATAGGTTGTTGTAACTGCAAAACCCATAAACCTAAAGATCCAATAGCCACCACTCTTCGTTGTACAACCATTTTATCCACTCTATCTTCAGTCTCAAGAGGCATATATTTCAACCAAATATTCACTTTCTAATCCTCGTTTAGCAACTCCATTTCTGCTACTTTGATGGACCTTCTCTTTGTTGCCCTCAATTTTTCTTCCAATTGGGGTTCTTGTCAACTCGCTCTTCAACTTATCAATCTTCTTCTTGTGTTTTGCCAACTCATCTTCCTCAGGGGAAGTTGTAATAAGCTCGCCTAAACCAACACTCATCTCCAATCCCATCAATATGTTCATCTCCCCCTTGTCTAACTTCACCTGCTTCAATTCACTTACATGATCTTCATTACCCTCTCCAATTTCATTAATATCATCATCATCTCTCACTTCTCTCTCCTCAACTGCTCCAGTTTTGCTTCCATGTCTTTCAATACACTCGTCAATTAGTTCATTACCCTTACCAACTCCCTCTTCTTTACCTTCACCTACTGCAATTGAACTTTACATGCTATCAAATCCAAACACAATTTCTTCCACCGCCACTTCCCTTCCCTTCCCAGACCCAATCCCAACTCCTCTACTCCAAGTTCAACTCCCCTAACTCTTAGAGTGTTGCATGGAAGCTTAATTTTAGCAATCATTATAGTTTGCAATTAGATTAATGGACACTAAAAACATCAACCAAAACAACAGTGTCTAACTAATTCTAAAACAATATCAAAATTTTGGTCGATGAGCTGGACCATAAGAATCGAAATCAATGAGGAAAAATATTGATTGCGGAAAATATTAACTATGATAAAATCAAACCTGAGCAAAAATATTATAATTGAAAAGAAACATTTTCTAATTGTCATCTTATTTTATTATTTTGATAGCTAAGCAGAGGTAAAAATAAATTACAGGACACAAACAACCAAGTAAGTAAAAAGGCATTACGATAGTACAATTGCCTATACTCTACACAAACTTCTCCCTTGGTTTCAAACAAATCTAACACCCAAACCACTGTTCAAATTCTTTTCCTATATTTTATAAATCAATCACAAACAACAAATTTAGATAAATTGGAAAGGAAATAATAGCCTACCAGTTCAATTCGATGAACCTTCTATGAAGAAAGAAACCTCCTTGAAGTTGAAACATAAGAACAGAAAGAGGAGCAATGACATAGGAGATCCATAGAGCTTCAAACATCATATCAGGCAATAAGATCAAAAGAAATATATATTATGCATGTTCTTCTCATGAGATAACGTGAAAACAAAAGTCGTTTTGTTATTAATCAGAAAGATAAAACAATGAGATATAGAGAAGTAGGGGTGTTCAAACAGTGTGGTTACCATGGCAACTGTTTTAACCAATACTATTTGGATAATTTTTTTTGGTTAATTTGGATAATTGGTTTGGTTTGGTTAAAGCTTTTACCTTGTTTGGTTTAGGTGGTTTGGTTTGGTTTCAGACATTCCTAACCAGCCAAACCAAATTAACCTGATATATACACATACTTAATACTTTGAATAACCACTCAAGAGTTGAACGTTCATTCTTTTAGACTCATAAAATATAAAGCTTGTTATTGTTCCTATAATGTATATTTGTATATGTAGAGTATGGACCACAACATATGAACGCCTAATTTAAATAAATCTCATACATTATGTTGGATGAAAACTTGAAAGTAAGGTTCTTTTCAGCCTATGAAAATTTCTAAAAGACTAAGTCAATTCAAACAAACACAACAATTCATTAACTCATACCATTGTGATAAATTTTTGTTTGGTGAATACTTCTATACTAACCGTAAGATAATTGTCTTAGTTGCATGTATTTATGTTAAAGGGTCAACTATAACTATGTGTTGATTGTTATGTTTTATTCATTATATAAATTGTGAATTGATAAATTAACCGAAAATTTTCTCACTTAATGGTAATATGATTTTATATTGGTTAATCTGGTTAACCAATTAACCAAACCGAATAAACTTTAGTTTGGTTAATTTGGTTGTTGTATTAGTTTGAACGGTTTGGTTATGATATTGTATTCCATGGTTAATGAAATTTAGAGTATTTGGTTTGGTAATAACCATGGTAACTATTTGAACACCCCTATAGAGAAGAAAGGAATGACTTACATATGCGAAGCGATTAACCTTGAACAAAGATCGAAAACTCATTCAAGGTCAATGCCTAGTATAGGAAGAGGATTAAAGGCGGAAGATATAACTGGTCAAACATTGTCTTCAGTAATATAAGCAGCAAAATAGTTATTCTGGTAGTTCATCTAGGAGAGACAGAACCATTGGGCGATGGCAGTGTAGAGGAATCGAGCGAGATAATTATGGCCACACCATAAATACTTGATTGAACTCCATTCTATTTGCCATGGATTGATGTCAGAGTTGAAATCTTCTACTTGCCCAGCTTAAATCCCCAACAATAAAACCTTAGTGCCAAGAGATACCGGAAGATTGATTTTCAAAGGCGACCTTGTACTGGGAAGTGAAAGGGGCGCAAACTATTGCATGATGGAGGGAATTTCGGAGGAATTTAGAAAGATATAAGAAAAAAGATAAAGAAGCACAAAAAATTTAATTTAAATTGAAAAATACAAGGACACATCATGTAGTAAAATAAATTGTTTATTCCATGTTAGCCAATTACCTTTAGAGAAAATTAAGAAGAGAGCATAAATTTTAAAAAGGAGAAAATTACTTGAAACTCTACTATGAAAATCGAACCATAAAATACATATGACAGACTTAGTGGGCTTGCTAATCATGATGGAAAAGTCATCCGATTTTGAGAGTTCAACTTCGTATATGTTTTGTATTCAAAAAGATATAACAAATTCATTTAGTGTAATTGGTTATGATTGTTGTCTTTGTTCGAAAAGACCCGGGTTCAAACCTTGATATTTTTATTTTTATATGAAATAATTAATTGTAAAATACACAAAACTCTACAATATATTATTGGAGGATAGAAGTGGTAAAGGGCTTTTGAAGTACAAAAGGACTCATCAATTAGGTACATAGGTTCTTAGTGGCTGAGGTTATAACGGGTCTGATTTGGGGAGCCGGTTTTTTTCTTCCATTCAATTGTGCTAGATTGAGTCATTCTCTTCCTTTGCTCTACCTTTGCTTCATAGGAAGAAAAATCAATAAAAAAGAGTCTCCCGGATTAGATGTGCTATCCCCGGGATATGGACTAGTTGTAGGTAGCGAACCAAATTAAAAATTTTGGCGTCCTTTCTCTTTTCAGCTACCTTTCTCTTTTGATATCACCCAAAATGGTGTGTTATTTAGTCTCTATATTTGAGGTATTTTAAGGTAATTTCATAGTCTCAATGTTTAATATATCATCAAATGCCTTCCGAATTCGCTCCTCGGAGTAATTTGTGTCATTTTAGGGTGTATTAGATGATACTTGCGTTTTAGGAACAAAAAGGGATCACAAGTGTAGGAAAAGGAGCAAAATAAGGAGATCACAGCTAAAGGGCGGAGATCCTGGTAGAGAAGAGGAGCCGCAAATTCAAGCAAAAGATCATGGCCTATGAAGTAAAGAACAGGCCCGCGATCGGGGAGGTGCAAGCCATGAACTTGAGGAAGCAACAACAAGAAATGGACAAAAGGTTTCGATAGTCGACTCCCCTTAACTACATTGATCCTCCGCACGAGTTGAGGTACAGGAGCTTCTAAGCTCTGCATGACTTGAGTCATAGGATCCTACTGTTGTCCATATAGCTTTGGCCTCCTCCTTATTTGTATTTTTGACATCACCATGTCATTCTCCTCCAAGGTTCAATCCATTTTGACCGTCATGGCCTTCCACTCCACATGTATCACACACGAACAAGGTTTCTACCGGAGTACCGGTCCCTTCTTTGGCTCTATATTAGCATCCTTTTGTTGCTGAGAAAACTCCTTCATCCATTTGTACAAGATAATGTTAACTTCCACACTTCCTCAGGCTGCCTTCAATAGCTTTATCATTGATATGTTGGACCAATTCTTTGACTTCATTGCAAGTGTGGCAAAATGCTCCTGGCATTGGACTCTCATCATTTGTGTGGCATCTCCATCAGGTGACTAGTTCACCATCATTGTGGTATCCTGATCTAGGCCTTCAGCGAAGTACTTGGCAACTTGTTCCGGAGTGAAACCATGATGGGGACACGCCTTTAGATACTCTTGGAATCTCATCCAAGCATCATATAATGTCTCTTCTTCCTTTTGTTGGAATTGGTTTATATCATCTTTAAGCTCCTCCATACACCAAGGTGAAAAGAACTCCTCGATGAATACTTTTGATAGGGTCTCCAAGTTGTTGAAGGTGCAAGGCTGATGATAGTCTAGCAACTTCATTACCTTTCATGTCAGTGAGAAAGGGAATACTCTCAATCGAATGGTTCCTTTGGTGGCTTCATCTCCAGGAATAAAATCTATGATCTCTAGGAGTGTCTTTAGATGCTGCACTAGATCGTCATCACTCCTTCTTGCAAACCTTACACCTTGTGGCACCATCTACATCAATGATGTACAGATCTCCATGGTTGTTAGTGGTGCAACAATGCTCAAAGTGATGTTCGAAGCTCTTGATCTTGAATACTCATAAATAGTAGTTAGAATCACCATTCCTTGCTCCTCTCCCATTTTTGATGATGTGGAAGATGCTTTAGAGGATGTTCTTCTCCAAAATCGAAGTTGGTGTCTTCATCAATTTCTTTCTCCCAACTCAAGTTAGACTCAAGATGAGTGTTGCTTGAAATGTCCTTTTCTCGTGAACTAAATCTAAAGATAATACAGAGACATAAGGTGGTTAGATGCTTTCATATAATACTAAAAATCCACCTTGATAGCAATGTGTGTACTAGTCATACCAATGCAATCAAAGTTATAAATTCTAGAAATGTCTAGGATGGTATTCCACAAGGCTTTTTAATAATAGTTACTCACATCTAATCATCTAATGCTCAAACAATGACTCAACAGAAATAGATGGGTTGATCTTCCCTATGTTTAGTTGGTTTTAGAGATGCATATTAAGTAAAGCATAACATAAAAACAAGAAAAGTGAATATATGGATGGACAAGAAAGCTAATCCTAGATGATCATGCATTTTATTCTCAATAATGATAAAGCTATGATACATCTTCTATTATGTATCTCTATCCCTCCCACTAAGGTCATCCTATTAGAGTGTTTACAACATGCAATAGGAATTATGACTAGCTATTGTGTGTTTTCACTTCATGTCACTATACTAATCAATCAATGAAGCAAGTAAGGATATCAGGTCACTATTTAGGGTCTATACAAATCGTAATGATGATATATACATTCAATACACTCAATTGCATATAGTCGAATATAGATGGGTGATCAACCCATTCAATACACTCCTGAGACAATCACATATCACATAAGTTGGGTTTCCCATGCAACATACAATGATATTATAAGCAACACTATAATAAAACATAATATATGTTGTAGACATCACATGATTAAAGCGTCATATAAAGCGTCATATAACTAAGGCATTCAAATATCATAAGCATCACATGACATATGCATACAATGGTATAATCATCACATGAGTAAGGCATCTAATAAAACAAGTATAGAATAACATAGATAAAAATGAATAAAAGCATATCATAATATCATATAAAAAGATGGTATAAGCATAAATGCCATTCAAGTCCTTGATAATGAAATTGAACTAACAATACACAGAAGAGAAGAATGATACCACCATTGATGATAAACGCATCTTCTTATACCAATGAGACTCTGATTTATTATATTGGAGATCAATATCGCAACAAGGAATTTCTTGTATCGATGTCGCCTTGCAACCTAGATGGACGAGCATCAACTATTTACAAGGAAAGTTGAATAAGACTTAGACGAGGGTGAATGTTGGACCAACAAGCATTTCTAACATACTTTCGTGGTTAGTTGACTTCTTATATATATATATATTCATTGAAATAATTACGTAATTTTTATATTTAAGATTTTTAATTGAATTCATTATCTAAGTTGAATAAGCTAGTGTTATCTCATGGCCAACACGAAGAAAGAATGGAAGATGGAACATTGTTTAGAATACCCTCCAGCATTTGTCCAAAATTTATGCAACAATGGTCTGCCCCGGAAGGACCCATTCCACAAATAATAGGATCTTCTTCTTGTATACCTTCTGATGAAAATGAGAGCCTTGATCTTTATGCAAGAGCGGTTCCTTATGTCATCACCCGTCGTGAATTTTGAGATGAGCAAAAGAAGAAGAATATAGGACAAGATGATTCTTCAACGGTGGATTTCTCCTAGAGTATGACCGAAAATGGTGGCTTCTTTGGGAACACATGCAAGATTCGCAATCATTAGAGAAGAACATGAGAGGGCCCGGGGAAACAAGGGAAAAGAATAAACACGACCAAGAGATCATGAGTAAGAATCATTATCAATTTAGCCCTCATAAAAAAGTGCGTATAAAATGCAAAAATATCAAATCATAGTTGAGTACCAAGCTGAATTAACAAAAATTATATCGAACTATTTGTCATAATTAATTATGTCTAGCTATGTAAAAATAATGACTGAATTATCTAAATAAAGTAAGAAAATCAACATTAAATTAATTTCGACTAAAAGTGCTTTTGGTCTTTTCCTACTTTTTTGGGGGCTCTAGTATTATCCATTTTTTTGCTCTAATTTTCCCTCTTTTCAACCTATCATTGGAGATTAGACCTGGCAATCGGGTTAGGTTGGGTACTTTGGGGTTGGGAATCTCGAGTTACAGGTCATCACGGGTCGGGTCATGTTGGATCGCCTGATTTCGGGTCAATTATTTATCCATGATTTTAGGTCATTTCTGGTTATGAGCGTTCTCAGAAAAAATATCAAACATGCTTCATAAATTTTTGAAGAAGACAAATTTTTACATATGCATAACAATAGGAAATGGAATGGGTCTAGCCGGTCGTCCCGCTAATCCACCCAACCCGACCCAAAAAAAACTACGGGTTAATTGGGTTCGAGTCATTCGGGTTTCGAGTTATAAAAACTTTGACCCATTTTTATTTTTCGGTGGGTCAACGGGTCGAGTCGTGATTCGTCAAATCTATTGGAGATAATCTTATGAGGGCAATTTCTTGGTCAAGCCGGCTTATCATCCCTCTTGATAGGATCCATAGTTGCAATCCTTTGATTGAACCCTCAAATAAAGGTCAAGTTTATGCCTAGAAATTTTAGTGCTAGAGCTCCTCTCTAACAAGTTAATGGATCAAATATTATTGATCCAATTTCTGATTTCCTTTACTCGTGTAACCCTTGTTCTCGTCTCTTTCTTATCTTTGGTGGAACAAAAGTGTAACCTATTTTGTCAAAGAAAGTAATAGAGAAATTGAAGGACGACGTTGGGTTGGCCGCAAGAATCATAATCCTAGTCGGATGCCAAGTCTTGCTGTTTTTCTACTAGATATTGTTATCATCTCAGCCTGAATTAATTATCCAACATCTCTTATCTTGTATAAATAATGGCAATCGTCCTAATGACTAGGAGTCGAATTTCGTGCAGTCAAAAAACACGTACACATAGATATAATTATCCTCCTCGATCGACAGCAGTCGATTCTCGCCTTCTCTGTGCTTCCAAGGATGGCTGCGTCGCTCTTCAATTCCACTGCTGGCAGCAACAGCACTAGTGGTTCTTCTTCTTCGCCTAAGGCAGCTCTATTGTGGTAAGCATTTATATTAACCTTGGAAAACGTAGTTAATCTTCTCAACATCTATTAATTAAATAGATTAACTTCCGTCCTTGGGGGTTTTTGCTTTTGCTTGAGTGATGTCAGTTCGTTTTGACTAGCCTGTCCCGCGTGTCTAATCCCATTAAATTTTGCTGTGTTTCTGACTGACTTATCGATGCAACATCGCCACTGTTGAAGAGAAGGGTTATTATTGCAAGGGTTTATTTATTGTGTGGCGTAAAGGAAACTCCAAACAGGAATATTAATGGTGTCTGTCAGTTTGGCTCAAAGTTGTTAGTTTTCTTTTTAATTAATGTTCCCCGACACATGGTCTGAGGTTACTGTTTCTTCCTCGATGCTAGTGCTACAGAAGGAGAATTTAAATGCACACATAGGATTGGGGAACACTGGTTTATTATGTTTAACTTGTTGTTGATCAGGTTGGAAAAACACGAGAGGAAGCAGACCAAAGAAGCAATGAGAGAAGCCAACGGGAACAACACCACCACCACCACAGCAGCAACAACTGATCAGACACCAAAATCAGGGAGGAGGGCTTGCCTTTGTTCTCCTTCCACCCACCCTGGCTCCTTCCGGTGTCGATATCACAAGACGAGCTCCGCTCCTGCTCTCGCGCCCCAGAAACCGAAACCATTTGCTTCTTTCTTGCAAAATGGCGGCCTATTGCCCACGAAACCCAGATTCGACTCCGCTCCCAGTTTTCACTGTGGCAGCGGCGGCAAACAACGACAGTTATCTAGGTTCGGCAGGGCTGCCATTGCTCCTGCTACTACTGCTTCTGGCACCTCCAATGACTAGTTTTCATGTAGTTGGGAGGGTCTCTTATGAGATGATGTAGATACTGGAGAAGTGAGATTTTGACTACTTCCCTTTTATGGGATAGATTAATGATAGATGAATTACCCACAAGTTCGATTCAAAATAACAGCACCATTTCTAGTACCATGCTTTAGAATTACTTTCACTGCTTTCTCTCCTGAAACACTCCAACATCAAGCAACGAAGTCGATTGTTGTTGCTCACGATTCCACATGAGACTCTGATAACTGAGTCCTTCTGGGGGAGTTGCATTTAATGCTCTTTTCTCAATTGTGGTATAATATAAGACTAACAAAACAGATTAGGAGGATGACCAACATACAAAATCTAGATTATGATATTTTCAACTCAGAATCAACGAAAAGATGGGAGACAAAATGTACCATGTACACACCAAGTGGATTATGATTGAGGGAAAGAAAAGATAGGGGGGCAGTTTAAGTTACTTGCATTGCTCTGAAACGGACGGTTAGATCTCGGACTCTTTCCCTCAGACGATCAGGATTGCAGAAGAAGTCCACAAACACTTGCCTCTGAATCCCCACTTCTTGTGAATGATGCTTCACTATCTGCATTTGCCCAACATAATTGGATGTAGAAGAAGCAAATATGTCAACTACTCTTAACAAAGATACTTACAGCATAAGGCATTCATATTATAGAAGTCTGAACTCAGCACACTAAGTTAGGGTAACCATTCCAGATCTGCTGCAGAGGTAGTATATAAGGCCAGATGAATTGGGACGTTATTTTGTTGCGCCAATTTGTTATTTACATAAGGTGGTCAATTTGAAGCGTCATAGAAATCTTTGTTGTCTTCATTATGCAAATGGGAAAGCATTCTAGTAATTGTTTTGAGGTAAAGTATCATTTACCCATCAACGATTGCAAAAACTAATCAGAAGCATATAAATTTGGGGTGGGGGAGCCACGATTCCTTCAAAGGAAGACAAAGGTTTACCTCGTTCTTCTTGCAGTGTTCAAGTGTAACTTCTTCAACTGCAGCAGCTAGATCAGCATTGGTCTTCCCCATGTCATCAAGCTCCTTCATCAATGCTCGAGGAGTAAGAATCGGCTGTGCAGTAGTTGAAGATGCAAACAACAGCTGCTGCATACTTTGTATTAGCGTGCACCTGACAACATCAACAACAACAAAAGAAAGAATAATACGTTCTTAGATTTTTTATTCAACAGAGCACATAGGGTCGGCTGTACAAAAATTGAACTTACAAGCAGTGTTCAAGTCACCAAAATCATCTACCCAAAAAAATCGTCAAAATCATCTCAATCTACCTAACCCAACCCAACTCACAAGCGACATTATTATGTACAGTAAGTTTAATAAAAAGCATATGCACTTCTATGAGGGGACACGGAAAATCAAAATACTGTAGCTTCTCCAAGTAGTAAAGCATCAAAAGAGATTAAAACAGACCACTCTTTCGAATCTTAGGTAGTGGGTGAGGCGCAAGCATGTATGTCTTGCACTACTGTTCTTAGTCAAAAATAAAAAAACAACCTCTAAACAGCAGGCTGAAGCCCAAACATTCAATTACTACATCAACAACTCTACCAGTCTACCGATTTGACCCAAAACTTTTCACGCTTGAGGCAATAGTATTCTTTTTTAAGTTTGGTAGAGTATGGCATCATCAAATTTCATGGTTGCTTAAGTAGACAAATTCTCAGAAACTTCTAAATATCTGATATATGCTAGCACCATGAAATTTGGCCAGTTGGGAAAGAAGTAAACCGTGATTTCAATATATATAAACAAGGTATTCCAGGACTTAAACACTGCTAGGGGGAACTCACAGCTCATTGATGCATCTATTTCTGTCTTCTGGGAGTGAATTATCAAGATCAGACTGCAGCGACGTCAAATCTGACTGAAGAGCAGAAATTTGTTGCACAATACCAGGAGCTGATACATATGCCGACAATCCAGCTTGAGCATCTAACAAAAAACAACAACCAGCCAGAATGTTTTTTATTTTATATCTAGGACCCATTGATTATTGACTTAATATGAGAAAATCCGAGAAAGCACAAGGGGATTTTGGTTATTTACTAGAATGAATGCTTAGAAGGTCCCTGATACCGTGCAGAAGTGCATCTCGGTCATCTACTGCGCCTTGTTCTTGAACATCAGATGCAGCTTGAATCAGTGCCAAGTAACGACCCTGGAAAGAATGGTGATTAATCTTGTCAGCAACAAGATTTGCTGAGAATGACATGATTAGCGTTATCGGGTCCTTCCTAAATAAATAGTTATAAGTCCAAGAAATTTTAACATACCACTCGGCCCTGGGTCGCTGACAGATAACCTTTCAGTTCTGACTCAATAACTTTAAGTAGTGAATATGCTCCAAGCATGTTCTTCTTTTCGAACTGACAGGCTAACTTTAGGAACTGATGCCTTGCTAGCTGATTTATGAGATGAGTAATAAACTGCAGCCAGAAATTAAGTGTTAGCATTACAACATATACGATTCACTGTATTATTCTGATGCGCTATAATAATAATAATAATAATAAGGTGGCTACATCGGTGCACTCACTTTTTTGGGTGCATTCAGTGCACCCACCTCTAAAAGTGGTTATAATACATTAAATTTTGAAATTTAATGGGTTGTATTAGTCTAATATGATGATATAACATAGAATCCCAACTAATCAACCCATTACCCTAACCTATTAACCTTCAATTTTGAATCTCAACCCAAAATCCCAAATTGTAAACCCTAACCCTAAATTCCTAAACCCTGAATCATTCAAATTAAAGTGAATCTTGAATGATTTTTGTACAAATTCATGTGGTTCTTGTTCATCATACCACAAGTGATGATTGACATCGTTTTCACATGAATCGTCTGCTCAGAATGACGATTATGAGGCGGGTGCATTGAATGCACCCAAAAAAGTGAGTGCACCGAAGACATAACCTAATAATAATAATAGCATGTAAATATATTTCTAACACCGTAATAAATAATAATAATAATAACTGGTTTTGTCATACATTATAAACAAGTGTGCAGTAAAAACCAATAAGGGAAGCATAGTAGGGGTCCAGGTGAACTCAATAAGAAATATGGCTAAAAAAGGTACCAGTTTCTGCCTTGTAATGTAGTGCTCTTGTCGCATGACCTTTAAATCATAGTCACCTGCAAGCACAACAAGCTAACCTAGATTATCTAAGATCCAAAAAATATATCGCAACACAAAGTATAATGCTCCGTACCTTGTAGAATATATGTATCTTGGAGCTGAGCCAGCTCCCAACACAGTTCTGGAATTGCCTGTCAAATTTTGTAACAATCAGCAACTGATTAAGGCATATATAAGTGGTTGCTGGCTTATTACTTATTAGTAAGCAAGATGCTTATAAGTTATAGCCTTATATTACTCCTATGGCCCTTTGTAATTAATTTGTCAGCCATGACCAGCCAACCTGCATGCCAGACAGCAAATTGCATACCAAGCAGTGCTCCAATGGACAAAAGGAATTCTAGTTACATCAAGAAATAAGTAGTCACCAATAACAACGCCAATTGCTATAGAAACCGAGAAAAACAACCTAGGGTTCTGTCTCTCTACCATTTAAGTACAACTGAAAGAATATCAAGAAAAGATACCAATGTCTGAAATTGGTTATTTAGAGACCTGGGAAGGTAGGAAAATATGTAGATTACATACATACCTCAGACAGTAATTTTTCTTCCTTTTGATGAAGGCTTGAGAGTTCTGTGACCAGTTCTGAATGCTTCCTCCTGCCCATATAGATAGTATGCAAGAGTAAAATGCCATCAGAAAAATTGGATCTATTTATAGACCATTTTCCAAATGAAAACCAACTGTCATAGAACTAATAGATTCGATTCCATTTGTTTAGTTGGGAACATAAGACAGTGGAACAGATGTAAGAGAAAGGGGAAGAAATATCTCTCCTAGGGGTACATACATCTTAAAAGCAAAATAGTGAAGGTCTCCAAATTATTAGCTGCCAAAAGCATGGTTCAATCAAGGAAATTTCCTTTTAGTTTGAACAATTATTCTTCATTAATTAAGGAAAATTGGGAGAAAGAGATGTGATATGCAAGTTCAATTATCCCAGACAAAAGAATATTTGAAAAAAAGCAACGAACTTTACCTGAGAGAATGAAGATCAAGATGGATGTGTGCTTCATCAGATGCAACCTGAGATTTCAAAGCCACAAGAATAGCTTGCTGCTTTGCATTCTCAACCTGGGCTTCAACCCATTGTCTCTCACTTGTTCCAAATCTGCCCATTAAGCAAACATCTCATTGATTATTCTCAAGTCAGATCAAATAGCATCATGCACACCTACCAAAAAGATACATAGCTGCATATCTGCTGTTGTCTCAAATTCTTCTTATATGTTGAGAAAGACCTCCAAATTAATAAATTCAGAGGAAAGAACCTAACCACGATCAATGAGAAGGGACAACTAACATGGAGATGCATGCACATAAGAGCGTCAGGAAAGAGACTAATAGATGAATAAAGTGGAATGTGAGCACGGATATGCTTCTCAACTTCTTATATTGATGTAAGTTGCTCTTTTTACGGCTTACAGCATCATCATTAGCAAAGAGTATTTTCTTTAAGTTGAAGTAAATAAAAAAAATTGATGACTTACTATCTCTCCATTAAATGGAAAATTTACAACCAAATAGCTATGTTTCATATAAATGAAAGGTGTGCGATCTATTTTATCCAAATGGAACCTCATCAGCTCCTTAGAGACAGAAAAGTTTATCAGTAGAGCTACACAGTATTCACGAAACCAATTTGCCGAACACTCAGTTCCGATGAAGTAGAAGAACATTAGAAAACACAAAAGGAGAACTACATACATAGATCGAAGTCTCTGCAGTTCAGATACTCGCTGCTGATGTGATATTTCTATATCTGCAACATCCAAAACAAGCATTATAAAATCAATAAGCATACTATTCAATACATTATGTTGATGCTTACGCAAGTATGTATAATCTGTGAGATGTGCTTGTCTCCAGCACTGGTAGTAGCCATTTTCATCTAACAGGTACCAAAAACAGTTCAGAATTAAAGAAGGGGAATACCTCTTACTATAACATTTGATACGTCATCAAGACTGACCCAAGAGCATTTTGATTTTCCTTCCTCTGCAACTAGTCTGAAAGGACCCTAATTATCATCACAGAATAACAGAAAGAAAAGTTCAGGACCATTTAAAGCAAATCTTCTATGAACTAGTACCACATATTTTCATCAGGTCCTTACAAGAAGATATGTCAAGCTTCTCACATATATGAGTTTACGCACTAGAGAAATAACAGCAAGCAGAAAATATGAAAGCAAGCTGCAGTTTCATATGTTCTAGAAATGATTAGGCAAAAAAATTATTTGCATTACATAGCAATTCATCAACAACTGCAACAAGAAATAGATAGTTTATTCAATAGATCGAATTAAATGCATTGAGTCATCTCCATACCGTGTCCAGTTGTTTAGAAAACCACTGATTTATCTCCCTCATGTAAGAAGAATCTCCAAGCAAGTACGGGTTGAAATCCGAGTAAGCCAAGTAAATGCCATCCTCTGTGCAGAATTCAAGTTGCAAGGTCATCATAGAAAGAGAAAGATAAGACATATAAGTTGGACCCTTGTATTCTAACATATGCGAAAAAGACCTTTCGGAGAGAATAGGATTCCAAGCCTTCTTTGTTCTATTTAATGTTCACCCTCTACTCATTCGCAAGATTAGCTACCAATGTCTTTCGCTTTTTTATATACAAGACCCCACAGGAAGCACTAAATTGAATTATAAGATGTAGCACAGCACAAGTTTTAGAAACCAATTATGCCTCTTGATATAACATACCTTAAAAAATGTTTATGCTACTACTGCCTACTGGTTTACTTGAGTTTCTTCTTTTTTTTAGTGTGCTCTAACTTATTTAGAAACACGAAGAATTTGATGGGGCGACGGGCAAAGAACAAGCATTACCATCCCCAGAATGGTAATTAGCCAACTCCTCTGCTGCAGAAGCAATCCTTTCAAGCACTTCATTCATCTACATCGAATGGTGAATTAAACAACATAAGCATGGTGATACTATGAGATGTAGCTACTCAAGGATGTAGACATACAAAGAATGGCCAGTGTTGTTTGAGAGATGATGCTCTATATTGCAACTGAAGGATCATAAGGACAGATTCACTAAACATACGCGCAAGTTTCTGGCTGACAAACTGTCATCTATCGTTGTAAGGTGTCCATTAACTGCAGATGTTGCAGCAACTCGAGCACGCCTTCCTTGTACCAACGTTGATGCTTGGCCAGTAAGCATTTTGAATTGAGACTGCAGATGGCTGAGCTGGCTCTGCAACTCCAGAGCTTCAGTCTTATATGCCAAAGTCGCATCCCTGGTATCAAGTCGAGGTTGTCAGTATCCCAAAATACCATATCAAGCTTCATTGAAGACTTGTTTCCAAGCAGAAAACAGATATACCGGCAAATGGATACTAAAGTTGCGTGCATCATCAGTTAGTTCCAAAATATCTTTCACCATGAAAAGAGAACACATCAAAATCAAATTAATCAGAAAAGCATAAGTCTACATGTCCCACACCTTATATCTTTTAAACTTTCTTCAGCCCCAAAAACTGCCTCCTGGTTGTCTCGGCTAGAAGAAAATGCTGAAATACTATCATAAGCCGAGTCCAAGTCACCCCCCTGTCAGTTTGAGACATTCAATTATGCAATGCATACTCACAATGTAGAAACCGAATGCTTGCAGTTTCCAACCCATGAGAAAAATGCATGAAAGCAGGAGATTGTTGAGCCCTGTACTGGTCGATGTTTGCTTTGTTCGGGATAGAACTCTCGCGTTTATGACAAGATTCATGAGGTAATATCACAAATTGAAGCACAATACTAGATCTGCCTGATTGAGTTCAAATCCCCCCCCTAACAATTCTATGTTGCCTAAGATTAGTTCTCCTTTTTGTCTGAATGGCTTATATCGATATGTGACACGGTTTAGGAAGAGTAAGCATGAGAACTGAGAAGTTTTACCTCCAATAACTTCCCTTCTTGCAGAAACTGCTCATACCTAGAAAGAAAAAAAAATCACAAATTCGATGAACGAGCAGAAGATAGTAATAATTCCGAAGGAAGGACAGAGTAATTAAATCAGATGCGGGACACTGAGAGTGAGTAGCTCAATTCGGTGAACTCTGAGCCGCCCAATCCACAGGATTCGCATTTCTATCATTTCCCTCGATTCTTATCATGGAACGAAGAAAGTACAAGCAGTACTAACTGGGAGAGCTCGGCGAGGGAGAGGACATTGGAAGGGCGGAGGCTGGAGCAGATCCATTCCAGAATGGGGCGAGCGTCATCGTATTGGAAGGGCCATTCGAAGCTGTCAGGGTCCAAAGACTCAGCACCTCGGTACCCCAATTCGCCCAGCAATCTGCACAATCGACCGCCGCTCATTTCGTTCCCCACTCAGCCGCAGGCGATCGACCTAGATCTTCATGGTCGACCGACCTTCAATTCTCGATTTCTCGGTCAGCAAGGGCACTAGAGGGGAGGGGAGGGGATGGAATGGAACTTCCTTTTTTTGTTTTTCTTTCACTTCCCCTTTTTTTGTTGAGTTTTTGAATTGCGGGTGCAAAGTGCAAACAGACAGGAGGGATCTTCAGTTCGTTTTTATCTAAATTTTACTTTTGGGCCACTCCTAAATTTTGAACGTGAAAATGAACATGTAGCTAGTTCTATGATCCTAATTCCTAAATATGATCTATGTCAACTTCAACGACATTAATTTTGTACAAATTACAATTATTCATATTTCATAGTGATCTGCTCTGCTAATTCTATGATCCTAAATATGATGTATGTGTCAAGCTGAGATTCCCAAAGAAATATGTCTTATTCAAAGTCAAAACATCTTCTTTATAATCCTTTTATTCAGGCATGATCACCATTTTAAGGTAACCGGTATGATGTTATCTCGTCAAACACCATATTTCTTGATACATGGCATTCGCCATCTTTGGATCACAACATCTCTAGCCTTTTTTTTAATCATCATATCCCACAAAATGCATCTTATAACTTATCAAATTTGGTTCTTAGTTGGTCAAGCACGAAAATTCGATTCGTGACACAAGCCATGATCACACGGATGTTGTCATCAAGCAAGTTGTCATGCCGCAGTGTGTCAGCCAAAAATTCCCAACTAATCATGTCATACGCCTTCGCTAAATCCACTTTAAGCAGCATGTAGTCCTTCTTTATGGATTTCAGGGAAATGGAATGGACAATTTCTTGCAAAATCAAGATGTCTTGCAAGCATATAACTTTTTCAAGACATTTCGCAAACATCTTAGACCCCGTATTACACAAACTAATCGGTCTAAAGTTTTTCACGGAAAGAGGATTCTTTGTTTTAGGAATAAGAGCAAGAAGGGTTAAGTTGAGTGCTCTGATCTAGTCTAAATTGATGAAACATAAACAATGAAACTCGAGAAGTCCATTCCTATAAGCTGCCAACTTTGTGGTAGAAGAGGGCATGGAAACCATCCAAGCCATGTGCTTTCAAGCCACTCATGCTCACCACAATGGCTCAGATCTCTTTAATGTTTGGAACAAGGCCAAGTCTAGTAGTCGTTGCAATGTTGATACAAGGAAAGTCGGTTGCAATTTCCAGTCTAGGCATATCTTCCTCATTAGTGAACAACTTGATGTAGAAAGAGCGCGCCATCAACAGGAGTTCCTCAGGGTCCGAAACCTATTGACCATTCTCATTAATCAGAGTTGTAATCATATTTCTCTTCCATCTGGTAAGAGTACTATTATAGAAGTATCTCGTATTTCGGTCTCCTTCAAGCACCATCTTTGTTTCGGATTTTTGGGGTCGTTTGGTTTTGGTGATAGTTAAATCGATGTATTGTCATCAATGCATGCATAATAATATACATGTATATAAGAAAATTGATGTGTTGTAGTTTACATCGTTTGGTTTCTGTGGTAGTTATTGTAGTATTTAAATAAATTATATCACTTTTTTGAGTGAAATGTCACTTTTACCCTTTCTTTTTAACATAAAAAAGCAACACACATAAAAAGGTAGGGACATATTTGGAAGAAGAAGAAAACACAACAATCTCCATCAAACAATCTCAACAATCTCAACGAAAACTTGAGATTTAACTATCACTCATTTTGAGTGATAGTTTGTGTCAAATCAAGCAAACAATGCATGTATTGTTTGCGCAGAAAATTCAAAAAAACGATGCATTGTGGACATTGCATGCATTGTAACTATCCCAACCAAACTATCACCAAAACCAAACGACCCCTTTGTCTCCAAAGGAGCTCTTCTTGTCAGAGTGTATGCTCTATTTATTCCTTGACTAATCTCTCCTGGTTAACAGTAAACCGATTGGGGAGTTGCTCATTTTTCATTTCCATCTTACTGAGGTTGTTCAGCAGCTCTCTCTTCCTTTTGAAGATGTTTTCAAAAAGGTCTTTATTCTAAGCCTCTTAGTAAAGACCTACAAGGAGGGCCGGAAATCAAAGCCAGAATTCCAGGAAGAAGCAACGAAGGAGTGAAACTCCTTATGAACTAACCAAGGAGCTAACAACTGGAAACGTCTCACCAGGGGTTTCTTGTCGGAAATCCTCGAATCACACGTTAAAATAGGCCTATGATCTGAGCGAAGTTTGGTGAGGTGGACGGTAATAGTGTCAAGAAAGCTTTCCATCCACAGTAGGTTGCACATGCTGCGATCCAAGCGTTTCTTTCAAAAGAGATGCCATGGTCGCCCATGTGAACTTAGGGTTAACAAATCCAATATCCAATAACCCATAATCCATGATGAAATCATTGAACTCTTTGACTCGGGCAGGATTGAACTTGGCCCCTCCTTGTTTCTCTGATGGCTTTATGATTGAGTTGAAATCCTCAGTAAGAAGCCACGGGCCTTGATTTGTCATCCATGAGATTGGAGGGCTCTCCATAGGTCTCCTCTATCATGTTCATTAGGACTAGCGTAGATAACAGTTAGAAATCCGACCTCCTTGCCAATAATCGAAAATTTGAGATGTTTAAATTGCTTGTGTCGGTTAAGGAGTTCCCGCTGCACTTTCTTACTATCCCAAAGCACCCAGATGCCACCTTTGAAACCCTCTGCATCAAAAACTTTAAAAGAATCAAAACCAAGAGACTTAATAACCTCGGTAGCTTTTTCACCACTAATACGAGGTTCTAAGATGCAAACTTCAAAGAGTGATTAGCAATATACACATCAAAAGTAGACCAAAATTTGGGGTGCTTAGCACCCCTACAATTCCAGAAAAAGACTTTAATCATTAGAGATTTGAGAGACTTCCCTTACGCGACCAGAGGTCGAGATTTTCAGTTAGCATCGACGACCATTGTCGTCTCGTCCTTGTCCTCCCCTTGAATTGGAGAATTCTCGAAATGCTACTGGACACTCCTAGTTCCTGCCTCGCTATCGTCTCGATTCACATTGAAGTCGATCTTCCTGGGGTATCCCTTCCCATTTTCAACTTTATGAGTAAACTTATTCTTATATGCTTCGGTGATTTTGGAGGCACTAAGATCTTTGGGTTTAGGATGTGCACCTCTTCTATCTTTGCCAGCGCTAACTCCTTCCTTTCTCAGCTTGTGGGGCTTTGACAAGGTTGCTTGCTAGTAGGTCCAACAGGGGACACAACAACACAAACATCTTTCTTGAATTGGGATGCATATTTACTTGAACCATCAGGGGGTTTATGACTCAATTGCATTGTTAGAGTTGGACTTCTGGACACCATCAAGGGTTTCCCTTCTTGCTTGGAGACAATTGGGGAGACTTTCTAGTTCTCTTTCTTGTGTGCAGTTACCTTCTAATTATTTCCTTGAGAATTTGTCTTCGTCTCAACATTGCTCGCACTTTCAGTTCTAGTTGTCTCCTCCAATGAGTTCCTCTTAGCTGATCTCAAGGGACACTTATCTTGGAGATGACCATGCACCAACAATCAAAGCAAAGTAAGCCAGTCGGAGGTATGGGAGTCTGACCCAGACAGCAGTGCGGTTGATATCATCAAAGTCCGGGTCGAAATCGAGCCTCCATGGCTCCGAGATGATATAGTGATCATCAATCGTCTAGGGACTGCCGTAAAGAGCTCGATCATGATCGAGCTGGGAATCATAGGTTCCTTGATAAAATCCATTTCCAAAGTGTTTAAGTCTTTGGTAGCAAGTTCATGAACGGAGACGCACTTGTTGCTTCATCTCCCTGGTCAATCGCATTCATCTCGGTATCTTCTACCCGCTTCGCCATTCCTCTCGCAATGACAGTAGCACAACCTATTTCTCCTTGCCCCGCGAACCCCTCGCTAGAGAGGGTTCTTGATATTTAACAAGGTTGTGCTGGTGATGTTGTTGGCGATCCATCCGGCGGCTTGGGGTTTGCGGAGGATCCACTCTTTCTCGGACTGTTCCTCTTCCATTATACCGTTGAGGGAGGAGAGAGGGGAGATCAAATTCTCTCTCTACCCTTTACCACCTGCAATCTCCCTACGACATGTTTCGGATTTAACATTATTGATTGACATTTGGGTCAAAAGTGGAGCTGGTCTTACCCAAGTATTAAAAGCAATGTTATCAGAACCAAATCGAAGTATGAATCAGTAGAACAAGTGGTTCACATTTATTGGTTTAACCTATAAAAAATTGTTAATAAACTAATGCTTCATAACAAAAAAATATATATATATATATAAATAGAGTACAGATAACACCACTTTTTTTTTTGGTGGGACATATAACACCACTTTACTCTTAAAGTCTAAATTTCAAACATAATTATTCAAATAAAAGAGAAATATATATTTTTTATTATGGGATCCCGCTAGGGCCAAATGGAACTACAGCAGGAGCATTCGAAGAACGGGCAATTAAAAGCCAAAAAGTGACCCAGACACTATATTGACCCTCTAGAAAATCTGGTCAACCCAAGACTCAGGGTCGTTCCGGATCGAGTTGGACCAAGCGCAGGATAACAGCGGCCCAATAATGAAATATATCTTAGAACCAAGGACCGGACAAATATCAATTCAGTACATTTTTCTTCGGTATTTATAAAATTCGTTGGACCAAGAATCGGACCATATTATATTCGATTTGGTGTGGTCCAGATCCAAACATGGATTCGGTCCGGTGTGGTAACCCATTGCCCAGTAACCAACATACTACTACAGTCTACGGTACATAAAGACGAGCTCCTGGATAGATCCCTGATTTCTCTTGACCACACAATCACGCTAGTTGTAATTTATAAAGACTAGAGTAGGCTGCACACAGCCCTGCATTCTCCCAAATTTTAACAAGCAGCAGCATTGTTGAAAAATGCCCCAGAGTGACAACCAAGAGGTTATTCTCCGTTCAGTACTCTCGGACAAGATGCCACATATCACAAGGAGAACACATCGGCGCACCAGAATGTATCTCTGCCTACAATCTTCAGCACGCTATGTCAGTTGGTTTCGTCGAGAAAGTACCTACTTCTGTCCAATGGCTGATTCCGTGGGTTCGAACGAGACTGGTCCAAGGGCAGTACTCGGTTCATTGGAGCAAATGCTGTGAGAAACAAGAGATCAGCAACCAGAATCCAGGAAAATAAAATATCTAGTGGGTTAAATCACAAAACTATAGCTTCTTAAGCATTCCACAACTCCACCATTTCTCCATTCTGTTACTGGAGCGAAGTGTAGAGCTATCTTTTATGATTTTAGGACACATGATTCACCCCTAAATGTCAGACTAATGGAAAAGAAAATTGAAGGGTAGTAGGTTCCCTTCTTATAAGCGAAGATCTATCTGTTATGATTTAGGACACATGATTCACTCTACATGCCAGACTAATGGAAATGAAAATTGAAGCGTAAGCCATAAAGGTTTCCTTCTTATAAGGGAGAACCTAGAATTGCTCAGGGCCTTTGCAACATTATAGCATGTGTTTGCACAAAGCAAAGAGAAGGGCAGTAACTATATGAGGAAGATCCCTCTAGAATAATTCCAGCGCAACAAGTAGCAAATAAGTTTAATATACCTTTCTCCCTCATTCTTCTGTCTCGATCATACTCAAATTTATCCCGCACTTGATCAGCCCTTTCCCAGTTATCACCTTGTCTATTTCTGTCAGAACCACCCGCCTGCAATGAATTGAAATGGTCCTTTCATCTGTATAAGAAAATTCTATGGCATCTATGCAGGGAAACAAAACAAGCTTAACCCGTGTTTCATATGATCTTAAGCATTTGGGCATTCCCTAGTGTTGCACAGCAATTAGCATGGTGCCACTGTTGTTTCGACATATAAATTCATGACCTGTGTCACTCTCTATGCAATTTTATCACAACATCAACTTGAATTAAATCCTCTCGACCTCAACGAGCATTCGAGATAACTACTACTAGTGACAATTGACAGTCATTTGACAAGCAATCAATCAAATTTACCCACAAAAACCCAAATAAAAATTCATACCTTCATTTGGTCGGACCTTCTGATCCTGCGTACCAAGCAGACTGTCAGTATTCTGAACGGACATGGTAATGAAAATCCATCGAATTACTCATCAATGAACGGATTAGAGACCGAAAAAGAAAGCAGACCTGTGTGGATTGAAGTCTTGGTCATCATCCTCCGCAGATTCATAATTGGCATGATCACTAGCAATTTTTTTGGAGTAACCCTCGTCCCAGTAAAGCCGTTCCCAGTTCTCCCTCAGCTCCTGATACAGTTCCATGTACCTTCTGCACCAAGGCTCGTGTTCCTTTTATCAAACACCACAACCCAAAAAGCACCAGGAACAACGTTTGTTAAGATTGCAATCCAAAAGATATTTCCACTTCAAAATTGCAACTAAAAATCAAAGACATCAATCACCAAGCTAAAACCTTTGTTCACTGCTTATTTGAATCCCGGAGGCTAAACACGAAGTCGAAGATAGTAAATGAGAGCTCACCGATTCCTTGAGAACTAGGCGAGTGCGGTGCATGAACTGCTCCCTTAGCTGCTTACGGCGCTTGTTGGGGATGTTATCTCTAGGAATCACGAAGCGCTCCCGTGGAGGTACGTTCTCCCCGATTTCGTGCATCTCCCCGTCGACTATCCACCAGTCCGATTTCTCGTCCGCCTTCTTCGACTGAAAAGCCGGCGCCCTGCTCCGCCGCCTGTTCGGCCCGGCTTCTGTCCTCACAGAACGCGAGAGGCCGGCGGTGGCGCCACGGAGGCATCGTCTCGTTAGGCGAATCATGAAGGAGCCGGCCGGCCTCGTTTAGGAATTCACGGTACTCCGATCAGAAATTTACACAGCGGATAACTTGGCCTCGGTCGCAAGCTCGCAGCAGTTCCATTCTAGGTTTGTAGCGGGTAGAAGAGGAGAAAGTAGGAAATAGAAAGTCAGGACCCGGAAACGAGTCGGTTAGGACTTAGGGCCCAATCTTGCCCCGAGAGACAGCGTGCTGTGCGTAGTAGGGGTGGACAAACGGTTCGGTAAACCCGAATCGAACCGAACCGAAACCTAAACCGATAATAGGCGTGACAAAAAAAATTACCAAACCACTTGTTTCAACGCAACTCACTTGTATTTATTGCTAAAAGTAAGATTTAAGATTGGATGAGGGTTGTCTCTCTTAAAAGTATTGGGCTACCCGAGTCACATAAGGTCTACTATGAATGGTTTTGATGATGTGTGGTTCTTCGAGAAGGTTTCCAAAATCATCAACCCTAGGTGCATACGACGAAGCTCAGAAATCATGGAGTAAAGCATTTGAAGAGATGTACTTTTTGTCTTCTCTTTGGGGGAGACTGAGTTTGACAGAATGTTGTGAATGATTCTCTACTCAAGGTGAAGAGATGTACTCTTTGTCTTCTTCACTGAATTGATTTGTACTCATTTGTCAGCTGCCAGAATGAGAAGTTCAATGATGGAAATGAATTCAAGCACCAGCTCGGCAGAGGTGGGTTCATTTACTGCAATAAGAGCAAGTCATGTTGGTTCCCGAATGAGTTTCTTTATAGGTTCAGCTACTTTGAAATACCCTAACAATTGCCAAATCAACACATCTATGCTGCCCCCCCCCCCCCCCCCCCCCCCAATGGTAAGGTGGAGTAGTGCTTGGGGGGACAGGTGATTACCGTGGTTACTAAGGGTAAATTGGGTATGAAAAATAAATTGTATTAATTAATTTTTTTAATAAATTACATTTTAGGTAGTTACAAGAATCTATTAATTACAATTCAATCTCTTTCTCTCACTTCCATAATCTTCAGCCAGATCCCGTTTCCTTATTTTTCTCAATCTTCTGCAAAAGAAAAAAAAAACACGAAATCACTACCAATCCATTAGACAATTACTACCACTTCGAAAAATATCAATACCATTGCAGAAATAAATCTATGCCATTACACGAAAACCACTTATATAAACAATCTACCAATATAAATCTATACCATTTCACGAAAAATCAATACCATTGCAGATTGAATCCATACCAATACACGCAAATTAATACCATTACATGATAATCAATACCAATGCAACAAAAACAATACCAATGCAAAAAAACACTACCACTACGAAAAAATCACTACCAATGCGAAAAAAATCAGATCTAGGGTTTTTATTCATCCCACCTTTTCCAGCGAATCTATCGACCCGAGGAACTCCATTGTTAATGCTCTGGCGAGCAGTGATTTCCCAAATCCAGTTTCTCCCTCTTTTCTCTCCTCGATTTTCATCTCCGATCAGCGCAAAGGCGAGCAACGTGTCTGCAAGGTGTTTGGCGCCCCCAATCTTCCCGAGGCTGAAGCAATATCCTTTCATTTGTTTATCATCACTCTGCTTCTCTCGAGTCCTTTCTTTATAAAACCCTGGAGAAGCAAACCCCCATTATTATGTACTGCTGTTCTCCTTGACAGAAACACGTCTTTCAGATAACACTAGGAGGCATTGCAGATGCGAGTTGTGGGGTGGGAGAAGGGAGAGACGGCGGCTAGGTAGATAGGTTGTATTAGGGTTTAAGTATAATATATAGAGTAATCAGGTGTGGTATGTTTTTCATTTTCTAAATTACCCTTTAGCTAATCTTAATCGTTAATTTAAAAATATAATAAAATAAAGATAATGAATGGTATAGATGTTGGTAGCCACCGTGATTACTCAAAATTGAGTAACCACCCTAACCTATTCCGTAGTGCTTGTATTTCGTAATTAAGAGCTTGATCGGACAGTTGAAGGAAAGGGTAGGGTGCTCTTTCCTTCCTTGCACTCTGGTGGATGATTCAAGAGCGTTCTTTGACTTGCCCCTTGTGGAATGGAAACTAACACTATGGCATGGTAAGTTTAAATATGCACAATCATCGAGATTAAGACCATACATAGGAAGTTTCATCCTAAGGGAGTCACACCCGCAAATTCAACTATGAGGAGCGAATGAGGCAAGGCATTGATAATGGCAAGTAAAAGAATTGACAAGATATTAATATAAGCATTCACATACAATAAAGATTCATTGAGTCATTTATCGAACACTTAATGTGCATGCTAAAGACATAAGTTCAGCCTCTCGGTCTGGACCATAGACCGTATATGTGGTCTGGTCTAGACCAGACCGCACCGTTTCCCAGCCCTAATTGCGGTTTGCGGGTGCCAAACTGCCGATGGTATCCGGAAAAAATCCTAAAATACACTAGTTTTTAATTACAATTTTCAAAATACCTAAGTTATAAAAAAAAGTACAATACGTTTTCACCGTCATAATTTTCACATTTGTTACAATTATAGCCACAACTTTCGAAATACACAAAATACCAGTGTTATTAAATCTGAGCCGAGCCGCTCGGCCCGACCGGTAAAACCGCCACCCGGTCACAAAACCGGCTCGGACAGTCTAAAAGCCGCTCCGGTTTTATGTAGCGGTTGGCGAGCGGCCGAGGCGGTTAACCGTTCGAGCCGATCGAGCCGCTCGTCCGGTTTTTGCCATTCAGCCACTAAATTTAATTAAAAAAATTGTAGAAAATTAAAATAAACCGAAAACGTCGCGCTCTCAAATTGAATCCTTATTTCCATTTCACAATTTCGAAGGAAAGAGATGAGCTCTGATTAAGAAATGTCCACTTTTATACTGATAACTTTTATTAGATATCGGTTCTCTAACGGTTTTTAAACGGTTTAATGTCGGTTGGACCGCTAAAGTGCGAGCCGTTCGAATTACCGGGTCATGTTCCGGTTCGGTTCTGACAACATTGCAAAATACTGAAAATAGACATTTTCATCCAACCTATTATCGGTGTCACTTAACGGTATGACTAGATTGACCAAAAATGCCGAGTTAACGACATTTCGTCCCCACAATCCATGTGGATTAAAAAAATTATAAAAAAAAATAATCGGAAACCCCAAAAATTCACACCATTTGAACCATTTTCCCTTTGACACCCATCGGATCTCTATGCTCCCATTGCCCATGCTTCTTCATTCCCAATCAATAGGGATTTTTCCAGAAATAGCACATTTTTAAAAAAAATACAAAAATAACACCCAGTCCAAAGAAATTACAAAAATAGCACCCATTTTTAAAAACAGCACCGCTAAGGTGCGGTTTGATAGTAAAACACACTCCCATGGTGCGGTTTATGTGTAAACCGCATGCCCAAGGTGCGGTTTAACCGTCTGGGCCAAAACCGCATCTTGGCCATGTGGTTCTGGGCCTCACCTAGCAAAAATCGCATGGCCAAGGTGCGGTTTGGTCCGACCTAGCAAAACCGCACTTTGGGGATGCGTTTTTGTTTCTCCACAACAAAACCTCACCCCCCCCCCCCCATGCGGTTTGTGCATGTAATTATTTTCCGACATCAAATTATTGCCATTCAGGTTGACAGACGTGGGGCTGCATGGCAGATGAAAACCGCATCCTCCCCATGCGGTTTTCATTGATGATTTTGCCTATAAAACATCCCGGGAAACAAGCTCTTCTCTTCACACCTCTCCTTCTCCCTTTCAATTTTCTGTTGTAGCTCCCTACTTCTTTAGTGATTTTGCGGTTAACGTTAACTCGTAAGTTTATTTTGTATTACTTTTTATTGTGATTTTTTATTTTTATGATATTAACTGAACTACGGTTTTTTTGCAGATGGCATTCCAAAAGTTCACGCTTGGGTTACGGTGGAATGATTACACGGAAGAGACCGGAAAGGGGGTCACCTACGTTGGTGGCAATTTTCAAAAAATAAAGGTCGCTACCAGATCGATGCTTGAAGACCTCTATCAAATGTGTACTAACGTTACTTGCATGGATGGCACGAGAAGAGTTGATCGTATGGTGTACCGATATCCAAACAGAGAAGGCGGGTCGTTGTGGCACGAGGAATATGTCATAACCACTCAGGATGAAGTAGATGCCATGCTCGAATTCTTGAGGTCCAACAATCTTTCCAAATCCGAGATGTTCATTTACACTGAGGCAGTCGTAGGCGTTGAAGGTCATTATGGAGACGGTCAAACATCTGGTATCCATGGTGGAGGTGAATTATACGGAGATCATCCCTACCAAAGTTACCATGATCCCCATTCCTATTTTCAGTACCAAGAGCAAGGTGAAGGTCATCATCAATCTTTCCTGTCATATGAAGAAGAAGTTCAACTGGACCATGCCAACCAACCCCAGTACAACTTCCAACCAGGCAGCGGTAGTTTTCACAACTACCATTATGGAGCTGATCTAGGTGCCTTTCATGAGCTTGATCAGATGGAAGATGCCCTGCCAGCACCAGTTAGAGACCCCTCTGATGAAGAAGGAGAGAACAACGTCAGTGCAGACAGCTCCGACCCTCTTGAAGGTGCTGATGATTCAGGACCAGAGTCAGAGTCAGATAATGATGATGAGGTGGCTCATGACCGTGTACCAGTCCCCTACTACAATCACATTCCAGACGACAATTGGATGGTCGACAGCGACATGGAACCCCCAGAGGTTCCAGTATGGGGTCCACTCACTAGGTTTATGAAGGGCAAACAATTTGGCTCGAAGAAGGAGGTGCGGCACGCCATTGATACTGAAGCAATGACTCGGCATTTTGAATGGCACACAACTCATTCCAACACGAAAAGGCTCATAGTCAGATGCGGTAATCATAACGAGGGATGCAATGTTAGGATTCGGGCCATTAACAACAAGAGACACGGCCATTGGGTCATATCCCGTGCGGTGAACACACACACATGTGTGTCATCCATAACATCCCAAGGCCATC